CTCCCCAACCAAGGAAAGCAATAAAGAAGAATAAGGAAAAGAAATGACATTCATCAGCTATGCTTCTTAAAGCAAAGATTAAAGAGGACATAATAGCGATCGAAGCCTTGGCAAGTGTGAAGCAGTTGAAAAGGCCCAATAAGCAAGAGCAATCTTTGAAGGTTGATCATAAAAAGATTGATTGTTTGTTTTTCTTCGAAAAGTTTCAGCTTTATAGTTCCAAACAAGATCAATTTTACCAATTACTTTCTCTCTTTTTTTAAATTTTACCTTTCCTTATTTTTTTTAGGTTTTTTATATTTTATTTTTATTAGATCTTTGGGTTTCTCTTTAATAAACTTATGGATAAGAAAGTAAGACGATCAACTCTTTTCGTTGGATGATCTTATCATTGGGATTTTTAGGTTTGGCTTTCTTTCAAACATTTTTTTATAAGTTTATGGGGTTTTTAATGTATATTTTCTCTATTTTTCATTGCATGCAGAATTAAGATTTAGGATTCACTTTGTTTTCTCTTTTACTGTCAAAGAAGGTTATCTAAGTAACTACTTTGAAGATCTGTTAATAGTGTGACAAGTTGAAATGGTGGATGGTGTCAAAAAAGCTTAAAAGAAGACACCAAAATGACGATGCTATTAATGCCGAAAACATCGAATACGAAATTGATGTTTGTAAGTTCAATTTTCACTTTTTTTCATAAATTATTTATATTTTCACTCATTTTTTCTCTTTTTAAAATTGGGTATTTGTTCTTTTTAAAGTTCATAAGCAAAAGGATGTTATTCATTAAATATGAATGAGGATGTTGGAGATTCAAATGAAGATTATAAACATCTTATTTTTTATCTTCAGGTTCTCATTTTTCCTTTTTCTTTATTATCAAACTTTGAATGTTAAAATATTTTCATTTAACTAAAAATTTCACTTTAAGTATTAAATGTTGGTGCCAAATTGAGGTTGCGTTTTCTTATTTTTAATCAAATTATATGTCATTAATTTTTTTTTTTTAGTATTTGAAGGATGATAAAAGCTAAATTTATGTTCTTTTAATATAAATCAAAGAAAAAATTGAGGAGATCATCAAAATGATTTTTACTTTATTTCAAGGTATGTCGTATATTTATCTTGAATCTAAGACTATTTAAATTAATATTTGAAATTTATCATTAACTTTTTCAAGTTTGAAAATGTCAAATCTAGACTTTATTTTCCTTGAAATGAACCCTTTAACACTGGTTAATAGAAAGCTTTATCTTTTGGATGTAAGAGGCAACTAAAAGACATTGCTTTTTTCAAGAACTTCTAGAAGCATATGCCCTTTTATCAATAATTTTCTTTATTTATCATTTCAATGCAATATGAAGTAGGGATAAAATTCATCTGATGCAATTTCATTTCTCTGTAGATGGGATGGTATTGAATTTCCAACTCCATTTGAAAGACTAATGAGTGCAACTAAAAGCTATATTCATGGGCTAGATGAGAAAGTACACTAAATTTAATACATGGTTGGCCTTTTATCCAAAATCTTTTTTTACTTGCTAATCACTCAATTGGAGTGGAAACTTGAGTTGTATTATATATGATAAATATGGTGAATTTATTAATCACCCTATCATTTATATTATCTCTATGTAAATCTGAATATTTAATTCAGTCTTCATAATTAGTTAACTATTCAGTTTACAACCTAAAAACCTCTGATAAAATTGGTGTAAACTACATTACAGTTCATTCAATAGCTTCATCTACAAGTATAGTATTAACTTTAAGAAAAAAAAAATCTTACAGACAATTGCATCTTTGAAATTTATAATGTTGAACCCTAAAGGATGCATTTGACAATGGTAATCGGAAGAGGTGCAAATGTCATATGCTACTACGTTTGGTTTTTTTTTTTCCGCACTCAAGGTTTTTAGGATAGGACTAAAACCCTTTAATTTTTAAGTCATGCTTTTAATTTACTCATGTAATTTATTGCCCAATCAAGTTGGAGATCTTGGCTTTGCTTTTAAGCTTGAAAATTATGCAAAATATAATGGAATTCCTAATGAAAAGAAATTATTATAGTATGCTAGAGTAGTAATTGATGTAAAGACTCTGACCTTTCATTCACATTGTAATGTTGCTTATAGTGTGTTGTTTGTACAGTTTGAATTTGTTGAAACTTTGAGCAATTTGTCATTTTGATATTGTAACCCGTAATTGAAAGTTAAAATGGTAACTTTTTTAGTTATTGTTAACTTATTGTCAACCTTGCACGTTTTAGTATAATGCTACATTGTCACGGTTACTTTAGGTTTGTCTTCCCAACATTGTAGGCAAGTGATGGATGTGAATGTATTGGAAACGATTTAATACTTTTTTAGTAAATAATTAAAATTTGAATCTAAATTACTGTTTGCCCTTAATGAATGCAAATTTTTAATGGTGTTTTTCTTAAAGTAAACAAGACAACAATGAACATGCTTCACTCAATTAAATCTTATGTGATTTATAGATATCTTTTATTTTCCTGCTTCCTTACTTTCCCTTTTAATATTTTATATACTTGTAATATCTTATTTTTCAATAATGTATGTTTCTAGATACCCAAATCTCATCTTAAACATAATTTATGTCTATCGTGGTTGCATTATAGCTTCAACCTTTTGATAACCTACAATTTAAACGAATGAAACCCACAAAGAAATATGGATTCAACTATTTTTTTATTATACCTTTGTTAATGTTTAAACTAATATCTAACTGTATTTACTCCTATAAGCAAAATGCAAATTTGAAATCTAGTACAATGTATTAAAAATATCCCTCTCATTTCAATTTAAAACCAAATCAACTTTGACATTAAAAATAATTATAGGGTTAATTTTGGAAATAATTGTTATATGTGATGATGTTCTTTGTTTAGCTAAAAGTTTGGCATTAAACATCTATTTAAATAATAATAGACAATGAATTAGAGGAGAGAAACAACACAAAAATAAAAAGAAACTCGGTATCACAATCAATGAGATAATTGGCTATTAGTAGCAAGAAACTTAAAATTAACAACAAACATAAAAACCCAAATCCGTATAACACAAAAGCAATTTTTAGAACCTAATACAAAAGCAATTAGCAACCACAATCAGCAATCAAACTAAAAGAGCACAACAAGTAAAATACTCACGCAATAACCACAATCAATTCAGTAGAAATAATCATAGGCAAGATACAAGGAATCAGCAAGACAACCCATAAGCAACACAGAAGTGATATCAATAAACCCAGAATCAGTAATTGAAACTTAACCAATGCTACTACACAATAAACACACAAGCAACAGATGTTGTTCCATAAAAGTCGTTCAGCAAAAAATATAGCAAGAATAAAAAAGCATGGAGTTTTTATTGGTAGTTTAGAATGTGGTGTATCTCATATTGAGTAGAAAGATCACTTGTAAATAGTTTAAAAGAAATTACTTATATTATTTAAGTAATTGAGTTAAGTGTTTGAGTGGGTAAGTCATTTAAGCTTGCTAAGAGTTTTCTTAGTGGGTTGAATAATTTTAAAAATCAAATATGGGCACTTAGGCACTTGATGCTTGTTTGACAAATAGATTTAATTTTTAAATCTTTATTATTATTATTATTTTTATTTATTTTAAAATATTATTAATTTGAATAAATATGTTTAAACAGTAAAAAACATTATTATTAAATAAAATTTATTTAAACAATAAAATATGACTATACAAAATATCATGACTTTTTAAATTTATTTGATTAATGATTATTTATTTTTATAAATAAACCTTTTTATCTGATCAATTTCATAACTTCTGATTTAAAAAATTTTAAAATTTTATTGTCATAATTCCTTTTAAAACAGTATTATTCACACCTCAAATATATATTTTCTTCTTTCTTACTATTTCTGTTTTTCTTAAATCTACTAACAGTTTCTTCGGGGTTTCGCAAGACAAATTCATGAGTTTCTTTTAATGTTTAGGATTAAAAAAAGCAGGGAGAGAGAGAAATAAAGATAACGTTGTCGGAGCTGAAGCGATTGTTTTAGGCATTAGAAGCAGTAATCGGTAGTGAAGAGAAATTGCGATCCTCTGCCTCTAAGCTTTGATCTCCTTTTTAGGGTTTCCTTTTCTGGTAACTAAGACTGAAAGGAGCGAGCGAAGGAAAAAGGTGGATCTTCTTGGTGGCTACAATGGCCGATGATTAGTTGAAAGGATGGTCGGTGGCTAAGGTCTCAGAACATTTGAGGAAGAGGTAAAAGATGATGCAGACAGAGAGAAAAATAAAAACCAAATGACTAGGGCTTTAGTTTTTTATGCTCATATATTAAACGATCATGCTTTTGGTGGATGGTAAAAATCAAAGTAAAACATGGAGAAGAGAAGGAAGAGGAGAATCAAGTCCAGTTGGTCTAACCCGGAGCTTTTACTCCAAAATTTAGGCATTCTTCTTTTCCTTTTCTTATTTAGTTTATTTGCTTATTTATTTATTAAAAAACATTTAATTATTTAATAATAAAAATAAAAAACTATTATTTAATAAATTTGTAAATTTAATTTTTTTATTTAAATAAAAGATTCCACTCTCACAACAACGTAGGGATAAAAAATAAAAGTCAATTAGACTAATTTTTTTTAAGTAAATGAAATAAAGAGTTTTGTATTAGCTTTAATCATTAATTAGCATTTTTATTATATTCCTGCAGTAAAACGCAGGTAATTATCTAGTATTTATAAATTTATTAAATAATTAAAAATTAATAAAATTATTTTTATATCAAATAATAATTGTGTTAAAATTAATAATATATTATTTAATTTAACAAAATAATATTTTTATTTAATTATTTAAGATTTATTAATTAATTATATAAATGATATGTTAAATAATTAGAATAAATCAATTTAAAAAACTTTAAATTAATATAAAATAAAATAACAAGAAAAGCAAAATTAAAGGAGAAATAAAAGAGAAGCTCAAGTCATAGCGTTACTGAATATATCTGTCCATGGATCCAAACATTGTAATATTAGAAACGGTGGGGATTAAAATTTTCATTGAAAGGATGAAGTGCCACTAACTAAACGTTAGTTTAATTCAATTGAAAAGCACTTAATCACCATTGAATTGGTGTGCTCAGAACGAATGCTCGATGAGATTGAGAGCCTCGATTGCTTCTCGCCGGAATTTGGATGCCTCGATTGTGAAGAGAAACAGGTGCGACCTTTTTTTGTTTTTTGGGTTCAAGAGCTAACTCGAAATCAAAATTTCTATGTTTTCGTAATATTTCCTTAACCACTAAACAAGAGGTGGAGGACAAGAGTGCCTTCCGCCTAATTGGATTTGACTCTCTTGACTTTTAGGTCATCTCAATTTGATCGGCCGCCGCACACCAAACCACCAAAGAAACAGAAGCAGAGGAGTTCTTATTTTAGTGGGGACTCAAGAAATTAGCAGCCCTAATTTTTTTGGTTTCAGATCAAATCTACCCTCATTATTAGACAATGACCATGGAAGTTCGAATTTAGTAGTACTAATACTTTGCATTGAGGCATCAAATTTCTCGAGCTGTACATACAATCATCCACGATCAGCCTCCACCTCTTTTGGGCCAAATTGATTTGTTTATTGTTTCTGACATCAGAACAGGAACTTAATATTGCAATAGAGATAAGGAATATTAGCAACAACAAAACCCTTTTGACCAGCAACTTACCAAACAACATCCCCTTATTTATACTTTTTTTGGTTTTGTACAGCCAAAATTAAATAAAAACAACTTTCAAAAGGACTTCTTTTCCTTGGTTTCAAATAAATGGAATCACAAAATAGGACTCATTCAACACAATCAACACCCATGCCCTGTACAGGCGCAAAAAGAGTAGCTAAACCTTGGTCCACAGTTATTTGAAGCTTATCGTAGGCCATAAGGCCCTTTTGATCACCCTCGTATGTTACATTTCCCCTTGCGATGACCTCACCATCTGAGTCTATGATCCCTTCCTTCGTTGGATCCTCAACTAGTGGACCAGGCTCCAACACAAGTGCCTTCACCTGTAGTTAGTCACAGAGCACAGAAAACATCGATGGTTTTTTCACTAAAGAGATAAAATAGGACCATGATCTCTGCTGCTACCTTCTGTGGAATCAAGTTCCACAAAACCCTAAACCCTTTAATGGCTACCATTTAGTGAACTCACCTTAAGGTACCTAACGTGTGGTGATTTGGCATGACTCCCATCGTTCGTCTTTGACATTAACGACAGCAAGGCTAATTTTGGGATGTCCTTGACCATAATCAAGTCCAAATAACCATCTGAGAACTGCAATTACAACAAAAGAAACATAATAGTCATATTAGTTATGAATGTTAGAAACAAAAGGTTGAAACTTCTACTGGATAAGTCTATTGTGCAAAATTAAACGTAACACAAGTAAATTACATAGAGTAAATGTGGAATCATTGCAGGAAATTTATTGAAAAACAAAAGTGGTAGAGGTGAAACAAGGTTCTTTCTCTGCACTTTCTGCCTAATAGTTATTCTCATGAAACCTTAGAGCTTTCTAAAATCTTGAAAGAATTGCGAAAACACTCTCCTAGAGTTTGCATTACTCAAACTAAGTTTTCTCCAGAGGGCATCAACATGATAAATTCGAGCAGCTATGAAGCTTCATATGCTATACAATATACAGGACTGAATTTCAATTGCTTTGCTTGTTAATGCATGCTATGTAAAAATGCTAAGAATAAGGCAGAGCAAGAAGATACATAGTAGCAGCTTCTGTTTCCAGACTTTCATGTCAATTCCAGTAGAGTGTGGACAAACTGAAAAATCCTAAAGTCAGGAGTTAATCATGCTGCAAATGCTACATACAGGTGAAAGGCATGTTGCTTAAGGATAAGGCAGCGGATAGCAACAAACTAAGAGAATTTTCACAGATAATCTAATAAATTACTGCATTCAGAGGTTTGTGCAAAATAAACCTTTGCATTGGGTGCGGCCATGACATCTTCACCTCCCCAGGGTACATTATGAAGCCAGATTGAAACAAATGGTCCACTAATAGTTCTCCAATGCATATTCTCCAACTTAACATCAGACCCAAGGTACCCTTGCTGTTGAATTTTCAGAGACTCCTCCTGAGTTGGGTTTTTTTCACTGGTAGGTTCACCATGATAAGAGGTTGCCTCCCCATAATCTTCAAAACCAGGAGCAGGAACAAAAGAAACACGTCCATTGTAGTGCCTCAAATGTAATATTCGTTGAAGAGCCTACACAGGAAATGCAGAGACTATTCTCATTACCAAATCCCAATCATATTATGAAGACATACAAGCTGTGCCCCAATTGAGGTGCAAAAGCTATTATACAAGAAAACGTGCACAACAACAAACTAGATAACATGAAAGGACATACATAGAAATCCATACGAGCACTCCCCATCCACCTATATTTCTCGGATTCGATGTCTATATCTGCTATCAGACCTGACATAAAAGAAAAACCATGTAAAAACTGCAATATTATTGAAGTTTGTGATCAGTAGTCAAAACCAAATGCATACATCACCAAACTTTTGCCAACAGATCCACATGAAGGTAAGAAAATGAAACATACTTGAAAAATGTAATCCATTACTAAAAAGTGGAGAATTTTACAAACCCCATGCAAGCATCAACACACTAAAAAATCTTGTTTTCCCTTGTGAGATAGTAGCAACATCCAGTGAACATTTATGACCTGCCAGGAATAAAACATTAAGCCAAATCTTCAATCAAAATGAAATACTTTTCGTTGCTCAGAAAAACAACAATCAATATTCTCAATAAAATAATAGACACCCTTGTTAACCTCGGATAACAGCAAGAATGGCATTAGATGCGCTGCATGGTTCACCAGCTGAATCCAGCAAAGACTTTACCATGCCATTTCCTGTTCCTGCATCCAAAAACATTTACCATCAGATATCAACACTGCTTAAATAAGTTAATAGAATGGTTTTCTAATTACCATCATTCTCTTCAGGAAATTAAGTAGGGAACCAGAAAACACAAAATAGAGAGAAATAATTCAGTTTTAATCGCCTTAGATAAATGAACTCACAAGATCTTTATGTACCACATACTTCAAACCATCAAATCATTGCAAGAAGGGCCCAAAAAATGTAAACTTATAAGACAAAGAGAGAGCCTTAATTTCAACTAACATGACACCATTAATTTCACCATAAATTTTATGGGTTCCGAAAACCAAGAAGTTCCTGTAAATCACAGCCCAAGTATGAATTTACCTTCCTAAACCATATGTTTAAGAAATTTTAACTTATAATAACATGGTGATAGAGAGAAAACCAACCAGCAGGAACCATTCCAATAGGCATCTTTATTGCAGCACTCCAATCTTCTCTTTCAAGTAATCCATTTATCACCTACTAAAATGTTGCAACAATATTGAAATAGTTAAAACTAAAGCCACAAAATTTTACAACAACGCAAAATATTCAGACAACTAAAACTAACCTCAACAAGAATTCCATCTCCACTAACACAGACAATTCCATCATAATCTGATAAATCCAAGGTTTTGGCAACTTCTTTTGCATGCAGCTGATGTTTAGTTTCTGATAAATTAAGGTCGTCATCAAAATTAAAATAAATTGAACAGCAATGTGCTAAAGCAAAAACATGTATTTAATGAAAAAAAAAAAGTTGAATCCAAACCTATGACAGTAATCTGGATATCAGCATCTTCCAGGTAAGGTTTTACATCTTGAGAGAAAATTTTAGTTGCAGATTTCTTTCCTCCAAATGGGTTCACAAATATCAAAAGTCTCTTTGGCCGCCCTGTTATGAAAATGAAAATTTTATGACAAATAATTAAAATTATAAAATAAAAAAAGGTTGTTTTTTTACCGAGAGAATCCATATAATCACGAAGCTTCTGAGACCATAGACTGAGGGAATCTTCCGAGAGAGGCTCGAACACGAAACTCTGCCTCACCAAATCTCCCCTGTTCCCCAAACAGCAGATTCCATCTCTCTTTTCGACAACAGCCTTGACTCGGATTCGAGAGCCATCCAAGGCGAACCCGAGAACATCCTTCTCCACGGTCAAGCACTGTTGACCTTTACCTGTAAACCGGAGATTCCCATCACCAGTGAACGTGAGGGGAATCACCGTCCCGTTGAATAGGACTCGGTCCGATAAAATTGGGGAGAGATTCTCGGGTTGACCACCTTGATCCATATTATTTACCGGTTTTGAAAAATGGATGGAATTTGTCGAAGACTTGTAGTAGCAGTAGAGGGGAGGATAGGCTGTCACGGTTTCAGGTCGGGCTCAGTGTGGATAGGTTGGAGAACCGGATTAAAACGGCCTTTGATGTTGGGAGTGAGACATTTCTCTTGCCTCGCTTTGTACGTCAGGTTTGGTCGTTTGTTTTGGTCCTTTTTTACTTTTTTCGCTCTCACGCGCCAGTGATTTAATGAAATAAGCAACGACTTTTCTTCTCTTGGTATTTCCAAACACCAAGGAAAGAAAATTTAATATTAATTTTTTTAAAAACTATTACATATTTTAATCATGAAATAGGATAATTTCACATCATTTAAATTTTTTATAAAAAAATTTTAGTAGAATTTAAATAAGACAAATTTGTGATATATTATGTTGAAACCTTTTTTACATTAGTTTTATAAAAATTAAAAGTTAATCAAAGAAATGAAATTTATTTCCTGCAAATATGAAAGGCGCGTGGAGCTTGGCAGGAATGACGAGAGGATTATTACCTGTGCTTATACCTACTTCTAGGTTGTTTATGACTTTTGTGCCATTCCACGCTCGATTAAAGGCACGTGTTTCCTAAATTCAGGAGGCTATTTAAAATTGGCCAACTCATTCAATCCTAGTCTAATTCATTCCATTCAATGAAAAAATGCCGTTATTGTTGTTTATTATTTGGAGAAAAATAGGATACTAAATATGTTCTTTCAACTATATTTGGTAATTTATATTTTTATAGCATGTTTTGTGTTATGTTTGATATATCTAATAACATAAATTATTAAAAGATGAACATAACATAAATTATAAATTTTATTTAAATTTTAAATATAAATATAATATATTTATTATACGTATTACACTTGATACAATATAACTAACATAAATATCATCAATATATACAAATAAATACAAATAATAATTATATACATAAATAATATAGATATATATGAATACCACTAATATACACAAATAAATAGTATATACATATCATCAAATATCATATCCAATTCAAAGCACACCAAACTACTAGCTTCAAAATATTCAAAAAATAATAATAAATTATAAGTTACGTTTTAATAATATCGTATTATGTAATATATAATAAATTATTTAATTTTTTTATCATTATACATATTATTTAGAATATATATTATTTTTAATTTCAAATGTATAATATATTGTTTTAACTCTTATAATTTAAAATAATCGCATATCATAATTAATGTTATTAACATTATCATATAATTTTTTATCATTATAAATGTTATTTATTATCGTTATAATATATCATTATAATTTATTATCATTATGATTTGGATTTGTCTTTGCTTTGCTTTATGAATAATCATATTACTAGATGTTATTTATTCTTAACAATTAAGTGTATATTTGTCCTTCTAAATTCCTTTTTAATAAAAAATTAATTTTTAATCTTATTATAAAAAGTTACAAAGAACTATATATTTAATAAGTTAAATTTTATATTTAATATTACTAATATAAAATATTACTTATATATTTAAAAAAATAAAGAATTTGATACCTATTTAATATGCATTTGTTATATATTATATTTAAATGTTAATATATACATTACTAATATAACAATCATAAATATTTACATAACTATATTAATTTTTAATATCAAATCCAAAAAGGATAAACTAAATATTGAAAATAAAATAATGGTTATTGTACTAATATTGTTATTTATATTGTATTTATATTATTAATATAAAAATAATTTATAATAATGATTAAATCAACATCATAATTAAATGTTTAAAATAATTTTTACATGGTATATTGAATAGCTAATTAGGTATCATAATTAAAATATTAAAAATTAAAATAATTTTTATATTTTTATAATAAATTAAAACAAATATAAAATATATATTAAATGTATATTTGTATCGTATCACGTGTTAAATATGTTTCCATGTGACACGTTATCTTTAAATGTATTTTTCATGTTTTATACAGTTTATATGTATCAACACATATAAGACATAAATTGTATTATTTTAAAATTTGTATCAATACGAATAAGCATGAAATACGTTTTTTAAAACACATACGATTTTTTTTATATAATTTTCATATCATATTTTTGTATCATGTCTGAAATTATTAGATCTACATTCAACATAATGCAATAATTATTAGATTAAATACAAATATTAATTTATTAAAGTTATTAAATTATTAATTATAATAATACATTATTTTAGATATTATAATTAATAATTAATTTCATAAATTTCAATGTAATTCATTATGTTCAATGAAAAAAATCTACTTTTATTGTTGTTTATTGTTTGGAGAAAAGAGGATACTAAGAAAATTTATTAAAGTTATTAAATTATTAATTATAATAATACTTTATTTTAGATATTATAATTAATAATTAATTTCATAAATTTCAATGTAATTCATTATGTTCAATGAAAAAAATCTACTATTATTGTTGTTTATTATTTGGAGAAAAGAGGATACTAAATATGTTCTTTCAACGTAATGCAATAATCATTAGATTAAATATTTTATTAACGAGTATTTTAAGATAATTTATTAAAGTTAGTTAAATTATTATTATTATTTTATAATAATATTTTATATTAAATATTATAATTAATAATTAATTTCATAAATTTCAATCATTGAAAATAGTAAATTATTTAAAATGGTAACTTTAAAAAGTATCATTCATTACAAACCCCTTAAAAATAAATATTCAAATATATAATTATTTTTATTTAAAATGTTATTAATAATGAATAGATAAAAATTAAAAACATCACCAAATAATAAATACTACTATAACAACCATGGCAGCTCTATTGAAACTTGAGGGTAAAACGGAATTCAATAATCAATAGGTAGTTTAAGTAGATTCATTGTTTAATGAGATGGTAAATTATATAGTTGAAAAGTTATTGCAAAATATAAACACAATAAATGTGTAAAAGACAGCTTATTAATAACATTGTGCCAATAATTGTATAATTTATTAAAAAAATATTAATATTTTAATTTCAATAATCAAAACTTTGGAAGGCATATCGGTTTTACCTTAAAATGTTATTTGTTGGTTTCTAAATTTTTAACATTATATTAAATTAGTTTTTTCATAAAAAATTTCGTTAAATCTAATATTAAGGATTAGTTGACACCACATATTAGCACAGATAGTCAGCAAATGGATGCTGAAATTATTTGTATTTTTATATTTAAATTTAAATTTAATTTTAAAATTTTATATTATATATAAAAAATTAAAAAATTTCAAATTATAATTTTTTAAAATTTATTTATTTTACATTATAATATATTATATTGTGTTTTAAATTATAAATATTTACTTATTTTATTTATTTTAAATTATAAAATAGATAAAATATAAAAAAGTTATATTTAAAAATTAAAAAATAATTAAAAATATAAAATTTATTTATTTTAAACTATAAAATTGTTAGAATATTTTAAAGCTATACTATATTTTAATTATTAAAAAACCCATTTCAAAATAAAGTATTGAAATTTATTTATTTTAAATTATAAATCTAGATAAAATATACAAATATATTATATCTAAAAATTAAAAATACAAAAACAAAAACTTATCAAAATTCGAAAATTTTATAATTTATTTATAATAAAATATAAATTTGATAAATATATGAAACTATATTATATATAAAAAATAAAAAATCTTATTCAAAAGAAAATTTTTGAAAATTTCATTTTAAATTATAATATTTGATAAAAATACTGAAATATATATTATATTTTGAAAAATAAAATAATCTTAAAAATAGAAATTTTAAAACTTATTTATTTGAATTATAATATTTGTACATATATTAAAAATTAATATTATGTCAAAAATAAAAAAGAAAATATTTTCATAAATTTTTTATTTTTGAAAATTATAAACAAAAAATTACAAAAATTTAAAAAATAATTTCATTTATTTTTTTTTCTTTTTCAATGTTTTCAGCTGTCACATAAATCATGTTAGACTTTTTTTTTTTCCTGGTCAAAGTCACATCAAACACTTAACTATGCAGTTGGTGGCATAAATTGATGAAAAGACCAATTCATTTTGACGCTCGACAAACTATACCGCCTCTAAATTTAGGAATTATGGATGCTAAAGATCAAATAATTTAAAATATTACATGAATATGATAAATAATAATAATAAATTATATAATTTAAAATTTTAATAATAATAATAATAATAAATAAGATATAAAATAAAAAATAATATTTTATATTTTTATATCGACATAAATTATGACATTTTATTTATATATTAAATATGATATGAGAATATTAATTTTAATATTTTACATTATATTAATACACGAATAATCAAATCTAATTATTTACTTTAAAAGAACATTTGATTAAAAGGAAAAATAAGATTCATATTTTTCATAATATGATTCTTATATTTGATTCTAATAATATGTTTCTTTGAGGTTTTTTAAGATTTTTAATAATATTAAAAAGATAAAAAATAACTCCGAATCATAAATATTCATCTTCCTAAGATATTTCAAGATTTATGATGATACGCAAAATTTATCTCACTTTTGTCATGAATAAATGATTTTTACAATTTATTTTACCTTTCAATATTAACGTAATTTATGATAAAACGAGACCTAAAATGACATGCACATGGCATTCCAACTCTCATCCTCTAACATCTAACAATGATTATATTTAAATTTTATTTTTTAAAAATTATAAAATTAATTCAGTTTTTATTTGTGTTGAGTTTTAATTTATTAGGATTAAATTTATATTTAGTTTTATACAATTGATTTAAATTGTTTTAATAAAAATATAATAATTGTTAACATATGTATATATTTTTAAATAATATTAAATTATTAGAAATTAAAATTTATTAAACAAATTTGTGGAATAAAATAAAATTTTTTAGTTTTAATTGATCAAAAATTTATTTTTAAAATTCTATAATTTCAATAAAACAATATTTTTTTAGATAAAAAAGTAGTTTATCTTGAAATTATAGAATTTTGAAAATATTATTTTTCAAAATTTTATAATTTCAATGAAGATTACATCATTTAGATTTAAACTGTAATATTTATTGAAAAATATTATAAAAAAATTTTATTACTTCTTGAGTTTTAACAAAGACTTCATTTTTAAAATTAAAAATATAATATATTATAATAATTTTTTTAGCTCTTGAATTTTAATAAAAAATACGTTTTTAAGATTAAAAAGGTAGCCTTTAGTATAATGACTACGTTTTTTCTAAAAAAAAAATTATTTATTTAGAAAAACGTAAGTTTCTACATTAAAAAAACTCAATAAGGCAAAAATAACCAAAAAATATTTTTAATAATTTGTAACAATTCATTAATTTTATAAACATTAAATAAATTATTAACACGTTAAATAAGTAAATAAATAAATAATTTAACTTGTTAAATGAATAAAATTTTAATTTTTATTACTTCTGATTTTTCATTAAATGTTATATTTTTAAAATTAAAAACATAATTTTTATTGAAAATATATTATAAAAAATTTAATTTTTCTTTTAGCTCTTGAGTTCAAACCACAGTCTTTAGTATAAAAAGACTACATTATTAAAAGAAAAACTCAATAAGACAAAAAAATATTTTAATAATTTATAAAAATTTATTAATTTCATAAATATTAAAAAATTCATTTACATGTTAAATATGTAAATAAATAAATAATTTAACATGGTAAATAAATAAAATAGGTAATACAAATATAACTATTTATAAGGTATTAATAATGTTATGTGTTATTTGCGTATGGTAAAAAAATAATATAATAAACTTTTATTAAATAATTTTATATTCTTTTAAATTAAATACAAAAATTTTATTTTTATAAATAAAAAAAATTCAAAAATCACTAATTCTCTTTTAACATCACTTTTAGCAAATGTTTTTAAAAACTTACTCAAATTAGCAAATTATGCTTTAAACTTCTTAAAGCTTCGATTGGCTTGGGATCACTTAAGATACATGGCCCATATTGTTTTTGTTGGGTTCAATGACAAAAACACCAACAGCCAACCTGTATCTCGAAGTATGTACTGGACTTGATTGACAGCCCAAAAGCCTAAAGCCCGTTTTCAAAACCCCCGCCCGTTAAACCCCAGTGGAATCTAGGAAGTAGGGCGAGACTCGACCTGTATTGGCTGCAATGGAAGAAAACTATGAAGAGGAAGCACCGTTGCCGCTGTCAAAGCCCCGGGGCGGCCACATAAAGAAGAGAGCTCTCAAGAACAAAGCAATTTCCGTTTCTTTCAACGAGAAGGATCTTAGGTATCGTAGCACACCCAAAGCACTTGCTTTATTTTCATCATAGATGGTTCATTAGTTCTTTCATTTTTCTTTAAAAAGCGAACTTTTCACTTTTGCTTAGTATTGATAACTGATTAATTGATAAGGGATTACGTGACTGGGTTTCACAAGAGGAAGAAGAAGCGAAGAAAGGAAGCCCAGAAGAAGCAAGAGGAGGCTGAACGCCGCAAGCGTATTGAACTGCGCAAAAAGGTTTTTCTTTTTTTATTTAGATTTTAATTTTGTTTATTTTCTGTACGGTTCCGTTCATTTCGATTGGAAACATCTTCAAACTGCGGCTAATATTGTTAAATTTACTCTTGTTGCCTTAGTGGCTGCGTTAAATTTGAATAATTTTGGCTGTCGATTCATGCCGGTAATTATTAATGTAAAAATTTATCTATGGAACTGAAGGAAATCACTTTATTTCCCTCTATATACGAATATAAATCACTTATCCGAGGCATTGCAATTTAAACTTTCTGAAATTACTATCAAACTGGTTGCTGCCCCAGACGCCAGAAGCCATTCTGAAAGGATTATCAGCATTCATCTGCTAATTAAATTTAGATAACAACCATTTCGCATGGGGTAGATTTAGTGCTTCCAATTCATTCCTGTATCTGTTTACCTTCCTGGGGAAAGAAGGCTATTCGACCTCAACAAACTTTTTTTCGCTGACACCTGTTTAAAACGCAATGAGATTATACAAGGGATTGGGAGATACCTCTCTGAGTTCATATTTGTGTTAATTATATCCTAGTAGATTCTAGTTTTTGGTGGAGTTCACGTTGGTCTTCCATGTTTGTCACTCATTTTATTTTCAGTTTTTCTTTCAACTTTTTGTGTTTTGTTTATTGCATGTAGACCACTGCTTGTATGTTAATATTTGGCTTTCTTATCTAACTTTAAAACAATCTTAAGTTATTAACTTTGTTGGCTGATGAAATCTTCAGAGAAAGTTAGAAAAAGAATTTGTCCTATATGGGGGAGCGCCGGCCAGCACTGGCTCAGGACCGGAATATAGTGATGAGAACAATGAGGACAAAGAAAGAGAGCCAATGGCATCAGTTTCTGGTATTTTTCTAACTAGCTGATGGAGTTAAAAGCTACTATAATGCTTATTGAAAACGATGATTTTCATGCTCTTTGATTGTTCATACTGCAATGTGGAATTATATCTCTTCTTTATTTGTTCTTATGTGGTTGGGCTTTGTTTATTGGTGGAAGGGACAACAATGTATGATAGTGCCAACATGACTGTCACTGTGACAACCAGTGAGATTTCTCGTGAGGAAGAAGACTTTACTAGTGAAAAGATGCATACGGCAATGCTCGGATCAGTTGGAGATGTTATTCACAGAAAGCACAACTTACCTGTGAGTAAAAATAAACCATTTAAGAAAGTTGCTAAACACAGATCTAGGCCACCAAGAGACAGAAATAAGGGGAAGAAAAGGAACAAAAAAATGCATTGATTTCCAAAATCTTTTATGGTCATTGGATACCAGATGTTCTTTTACATTGAGGAGTGTAAAACAAGTTTAACAAGCCCAACGAATTGACACTTTGCAAGTAACCTTTATGTTGTCTTTATCATGGTTTTACTATTGCCTACTTTGAAGCTTGTTTCAATTTGAAAACTTATACTTACGGTACATGATTTGTTCCTTTTCCATTTTGAGTTCAAATATCCCAGACATTTTTGCTTCCAGTTTAAAGTGTTTTGTGCTGTCTCTCTCATGTGGTAGGGGATTCGTTCCACCACTAGCATGCATTTCCACACCACTACTTGAAGCATCAACTTTTTTCAGTGGTGCTCATGTTTTGGGCTTTTGCTTCTGTTTTCTCCTTCAATTATTACTTTGGCAGAAGACAGAGGCAAGTATGAAGAGACCCAAGAACAACAAACCCCACAAGACGGAAGAGGATAGATTTTTATTGTTTAAGAGAACTATCTCTCCTTGTCATGTAACACTGTCTGATCATGTTTCTTGTCCCTTTGAGAAGAAATGGATCAAAGTTGCTGTTTGCCCCTTTAAAAGCAAAAGCTTTTGCTAAATCTTTGACAAATGATAGGAAATGATGGTTTAGTTTTCTCCTCTTAAGAAGGGGATAAAACTTGCTTAAAGCGTTACCATGGAAGTTAGTTAACAAGTCAGACTCAAAGGTGAGAGATCCAAAGAGTACTTTGTTTGCATAATTGTGTTATATTCTTTTTAATAAAAATATCTTACGTGGGGAGAGGTTATTCTTATTAATAAAAAGATCTTATGTTTGTTTGCATAATCAGAAAATCAACAAATCTAAGCCTAATACTGCGGATCACGCATGGGTCCAAATGTGCAAAGTTGCAATGATTACTCGCAATTATTAAATAAAAACAAATACAAAGGAGTAACACTAAAAACTCGTGGGATACCGAAGTCGTACGGCTCTAATCACGGGATCCCACAGCTCTGAGAAAAAATTACATAGGAGGCGACCGTACAATTTTAAAGTCCAAGTCCAAACAGATTATTAGCTACAATGCCAAAGCCGTCACTGTAAAAAACAAGTCGACAGACAGAGGATATAACTTCCAAACAAACAAGAACAATTAGGAAAATTCGCAGACGTTTCCTCGAAGCTTCTCTCTTTTCACTTTCCCGCTACCCCTCTTTTATACTTTTTAGCTTTCTCTTTCGCTTCCCGTTCATTAAAAGGAAAAGAATAAAGGAAGAGAGAAATTTGATTCCATTTTTGTTGGATAAAATTGAATCGCCTTTGAAGAGAAAGAGAAAAGAGAAGGACTTTCAAGTTTTGTGTTTGTTTTTGAGAAATAGAAAGTTTAAAGTAAGTGAACAGAAAAAGAAGAGAAGTTTGAATTAAGTTGGTTGCTTTTCTTTTCTGGTAGTTTATTTCTCGGCAACCAAACAGGCTGAGTTTGAAAATGCAAACGAGGTTTATGGAGAGGTCGAATAGTATGACGCGAGAGAAGAGAGGTTTGGATTCGAGTTCTGGTGATGAAGGACCTGATAGGAAACGACCTGCTCTTGCTAGGTCTCTTGCTCTCACTCTTTTCTCTTTTTCTCTGTGCTTCACAACCAAACATTTTGTTATGTTTTGTCTGTCTTTTATGTTTCTTTTTTCTGTGTGTAATTTTGTTGATGTAAGGAAATGGTTTTTATTGAACGGAGACTGAACTGAATCTGAAAAAAGTTATGCATTTAATTCAATGATTTAAACTAACCTTAACTGCTTTCACATGTAATAAAATGTAGGGTTTTTTCTTTTACAAAAAGCAGTTTTTTTTTAAAAATTTTAAAAGGAAACAATTTTGGATTATCTGCTTTAATTATAAAACAAAAAACAGTTGATAAATAAAGAGAAAAGTTCGACAAAAAACAAGCATGGAAGCCAATGGTTATGCTGTTTTATGTGGGTGTACTCTTATGAGCCAACTCTTTTATGTCAACAAGGTTAAAAATGGGGCATGGGTGTCGATGCAGTTGCAGTGTCTTGACTGACATAACTTAGAAAACTGAAAAAAAAAACCTAGTCTTGCTTGCCCTGACATATATATATATATATATATATATATATATATATATATATATATACAGCCTTACTAAAATTGACTACTAAGGAATCTATATTAGGTGTATAATTTTGACTGGAGTTTGATCCATCATTATGTCAAAAATTCTATTAAAAACTTGGTTAACGAGGAAATACTAAAGAAGTTGTTTTGTTAACATAAGGCTTTGACCTTGATGCAGTGTGATTGTTGAAGCTCTGAAAGTGGATAGTCTGCAGAAACTTTGCTCATCATTGGAGCCTATTCTTCGGAGAGTTGTAAGATTCTGGATTTTATTCTTCTCTTTTTGAAGTTCTTACTTGGTTCATGTTCTCATTTCGAGGGTGATGTTCTATAAACTCATAAATCTTCTGTTCTTGCCAATATGAGCAGGTCAGTGAAGAAGTGGAACGTGCTTTAGCAAAACTAGGTCCTGCCAAGCTTACTGCTAAGTATGAGCTTTTTTTTTTTTTTTTTTGCTTTAAATCCTATTATAATACCAAAAGAAAATGTTTTCTATACTTTAGGAAAGTTTCTTTTTCTATTTGTTATTGCTAAACCTCTGTTAAGGTTTTACTGTAAAATAATCAAGAAGAGGTTTGGAATCACACTTCTATTTTACTTGGGCATTTTGCTTTTCCTTCCCATATGTGCCCCATCACTGTTGTGCTTGTGATAACATTATTGTCTGTGATAGACCTGTTGCTGTCCTTTCTTGCATTCATTTCCATGTTATTTCAAATTTCATCTCTTTCATTTTAAGATAGCATATTCCGCACATTTTGCGAGTGACAAAGTTCTGCTATATGCCCAAGGACATGTATGACCTCCTCTCTCTCTCTCTATCTCTTATTCCTCTATCATTCAGAAGTCTGGTGACTGTTGTTCCGATTGCTGCACTTTTCCCCTACTTTGTTCCACTTAATGCGTTTTTCTTGTTGCCATTAGTGTATTCTACAAAGATTTTTTTTTTTTTTGATAATTCTGCCTCTTGTTTTGGTTCTCATAATGGTTTAGAAAATGCGGGTCTTCTCCTAAACGGATAGAAGGACCTGATGGAAGAAATTTGCAGCTGCACTTTAGATCCAGGTTGTCCCTCCCTCTCTTTACTGGAGGGAAGGTTGAAGGGGAGCAGGGTGCTGCTATCCATATTGTCTTGATTGATGCAAACACCGGTCATGTTGTCAAATGTGGTCCAGAGTCCATAGTGAAACTAGATGTTGTTGTGCTTGAGGGTGATTTCAACAATGAAGATGATGATAACTGGACTCAAGAAGAATTTGACAGTCATGTTGTCAAGGAGCGTGAGGGGAAGAGGCCATTACTGACTGGAGATCTGCAGGTGGTGCTGAAGGATGGTGTAGGAACACTAGGAGAGCTAACGTTTACGGACAACTCAAGCTGGATTAGGAGCAGGAAATTCAGGCTAGGGCTAAAGGTTGCCTCTGGCTCTTGCGAAGGAATCCGTATTCGTGAAGCGAAAACAGATGCCTTCACTGTTAAGGATCATAGAGGAGAATGTGAGTTCTTAACTTTGGTTAAGCATCCGTATTTGTGTAATGCAAATAGACTTAACCTTGGTTGTTCGAAAGCCAGTAAATCATTGCCTTCTCCTTTTTTTTTTTTCTTAACAGTATACAAGAAACACTATCCACCTGCTTTAAATGACGAGGTCTGGAGATTGGAAAAGATTGGCAAAGATGGGTCGTTTCACAAGAGGCTCAATAAAGCTGGAATTTTTACAGTTGAAGACTTTCTACGACTTGTGGTTAGGGACTCACAGAGGCTGAGAAATGTAAGACTTGCATCTTATCCTCAAATCAGAATTATAATTTGTTCTTCTGTCTAACTATTTTTTGATCCATTTCTTGAAGATTCTTGGAAGTGGAATGTCTAATAAGATGTGGGATGTTCTTGTGGAGCATGCAAAAACTTGTGTTCTAAGCGAGAAACTTTATGTTTATTACCCTGACGACGTGAGGAGTGTTGGCATAGTCTTCAACAGCATCTTTGAGTTGAGTGGCCTAATTGCCAATGGACAATATTATGCAGCTGATTCTCTGTCGGACAATCAGAAGGTAAAAGAACACACAATTCTGATATTTATTCCATTTAGTTTGCATTTATCTTCAAACCCATTTAGTTTACAGTGTGTTTATGTATTAATAACAAAATGGAAGATTATCTACTCCTTGCCCTAATTTTCCCATATGATTTACCTTTTTTATGTCGGTTAGAGCTATGCAGACTTGTTTAAAAGTCAGTCTTTTTGTTTTGACTAGTTTAATTCAACTACTCTTTTGTTTCGAGTACTGGATTTGGTACAGCACTCGCCAATGTTCCTTTACGTTCTGGCCATACAGAAAATAGCTTGAGAAAACTTCCAATCACTGTGTTCTTGCAGGTTTATGTGGATGCCCTGGTAAAGAAGGCATATGAAAATTGGATGCATGTTATAGAGTATGATGGCAAGTCTCCACTTGGCTGTAACGAAGATGGTAGTGCAGGTGCTTCACAAGCCAATTTTTCAATGGATCCGCAAGGTTATCCAAGTTCGATTAACCATCAGCAGACTCTACCAACTCTGTCAGTTCCAGTTCCTTCAGAACAGCCTCCCATGGATTCTGGTCTAAATGTTGGAGGTATAAATTCTTGAGTGAAAGTGAACTTGAATTTCATGTAAATTTGTCCATTTTTACGAACTATTTTTGAGTACATAGGTGAAGTGAGAACAATCCCTCCCCTTACTCTTTTTAAAAAAAAAACAATAAAATAAAAAAGGTGCCGTATCCCTGGTGTCTGCTTTCGTGCTTTTCAGACTGTTGTTTGCATATTAAAATTTTGCATCTGTACATGTTTGTTGTTGACTGTGTTCTCCCTTTCTCTAGGTTATGATGATAGTATGGCTGCCAGACTTATGATGCAATCACAAAACGTACGTCTTAATGCTCAGACTCAGTTGAATGGTGCTTCATTCAGTCTACAGAACCCCTTGGTCAGTGCTTCACAGCAGGTCCAGCTTCCAGGAAACGATAATGAGCTAGCACTTGGTCCATCTCAGTCATCCATGGCAGGTCTCCATGGTGTCGGCACATCAAATGTTCCTAGTTATAAGGGGGTTGACGATTTCTTCTCAGAGGAGGAGATTAGAATGAGAAGTAATGAGATGCTTGAAAATGAAGATATGCAACATTTGCTTCGAATCTTTAACACGGGAAGCCATGGCCAGACTCCCTTTAATGCTTCTGAAGATGGTTATCCTTATTCCTCAACATATATGCCCACCCCATCTCTGAATTATGGTTTTAATAATGAAGCTTCTGGCAAAGCTGTAGTTGGGTGGCTCAAACTCAAGGCAGCTCTGAGATGGGGCATCTTTATTAGGAAAAAGGCTGCTGAAAGGCGGGCACACCTTGTTGAGTTGGATGATTCATAGATCTAGCCTCTGATGCAGAGCTGTCTGGATGTGGTGTAAGCAGGCTTCCTTCCATCTCCCTGCCTGATTCTAACCCTAACAGACTAAGGACTCAAGGACTTGAGTTGTTGGCAGGGTCTGGCTCTTCGAATCCTTGCATTGCTTGGATTCTACCTCTGCCATCCAGGGACCTTTCTGCTTGTACATTTCTTCTCTGTACAGTAAGCTTCCATCATAACAAGTAGGGTTTCAGTTCATGTGGTGTCTTAAGAGTGGAGGCTTGAAATGTTATCAAGGGGGAACGTCTCCAGCACGAGTCCAAGTAGCAAGTGTAACGGATGTATCTTACTACTTCAGATGACTAGCATCTCTGGTCTGTACTATATTCTGTTAATATCTAACGAAATAAAAAGGCATGTTTATGTTCTTGACTTGTAATAATGAATAATGAAAAAAATATAATAGTGGTAGTGATAACATTGCCTGGGCAAAGTCCAACTGCTGCATAATGGAACTGTGTTTTATTTAACCTACAGCTTTCTTCCTGTGTTAAAATGGTCGCTTGCAAAAGCTCGAAGAGAAGAATATCGCTATTATGATTTTTTTTTCTTTGTGCTTAAAACACATTATCCACGAGGAAGCTCTGTTCGATGGGAATGTTTTTTTCACGGCTGCGTTAGTGCATGGATGGCTGTACAAAGGGAATATGGACAGCGTGCATTGAAGAGAGTAGATCCAAACATAGTTAAGAACACGATAAGCTCATCTGGTCCCCTACCGGAGATTTCAGGCCACCCTTTCATGTCCTCTCATTTTCTATGAATCTCTTTGGCTCCGTCTCTTCGTCGCTCTCTGCTTTTCCTCTGTGGTACACCTTGGAAAACATTAAGGGGATAATGACCCTAACCATTAACCTGGGCAGAAGCTGCCAAATCGAACATGTGCTGATAGGTTATTATGAAGATTATAGATAAAAAACCATAGGTGAGCGTAATTGAAATGTAGATAACACCGTAGTTTGACATTTACCCGAAAAGAAAAACAGATGGGACATGATATGAATCAGCTGTGATTTGAATTATTGTGACATTCAATTATATCCTTGTTGAAAATAAACCACTCAACTGATCCCTTTCTATAAGGCTGTCCCCTCAACTCCAATGCTAAGATTAATGTCTTATCAGGAACAAAATATCAAGCCACTATGTGTTAAAAGTGTTTATTAACCCCTTTCAAGAACATCTTAAACTAACAATGTTATAATCTAAGGAAAAATAGCCATATTAAATGAAAAATCGTGACTTCCAACTACTGTTTTAAGAATGTGATTTTTATTTTCATGAAAATCTAGATCTGCAGCTCTTGGTTAAAAGAGAAAATCATAAAGTCGTGAAGATAATTCTGAAGGAATAAAATATGAACAATTTTCAGTTTTAGCAGAGGTTTCCAAACCATTAAAATCTTAGTCTGTTGCAAGTGTCATGTTTGTTGAGTTAAGCCTGCAGGATTCCTGCCAAGAACCAAGTTTCTTGGTTCATTTAGACGTTACCAGTTATGACTTCTCTTTGTTGGGCATGAGGTCTGTACTCTGTGGTGGATGCTTTGTGATTTTGCAGGATTTGTAAATATTGAAGATACTATGTTTTGCCAGGGAGGAAAAAGGCCACAGGAAATAGTTGCAATTTTTTTGCTCGGGCCAAGTTTGGGTCGGGCTTATGCCTTATATCAAGAGTGAATAATCTAGTCCAGGCCCAGCCCATATTAAATAATCGGGCCTCTGATCTTACCATACCCAGCCCTATAATTTGAAATAGCAAGCCCGCCCAAAAGCAGAACATGTAAAATAATATCATTAAAGTACAAAAATTGAAATGCACCAATTAAACCCTATGACAGTTTAAACGATAACTTACATATCAGTTTCAATATCAACTTCAGATGGCTCCAGCAGGGGCTTAACAGGATCTTGATCATATAAAAACTTTAAGAATATAACAAGAAGTTCGCTGTCAAAAGCGAAAATGTAAGGCTACCAAATTAAAGATAATCAAGAAAGGTGAATGAAAAGACATCTGAAAAACAAACCTGTTAAAGGGAAGAAGCTGATCACTTGGCTCTTGCATAACTAGCTTTATACATTTTAGCAGCCAATTAAAGAAGTTTGAGAACTGCTATTCAAAAAAAAAAAGAACTTAGAAAACTAAAAGCAAAGACAGATTTCAGAACTCCAACAGAAAAGAAACATAATTCCAGGAGAAGAAAATTGTCCATTTTCATACAATACTGTGTGTGGTAAGTGGAGGGATTAAGAATGAAGAAAGACCAAAAGAACTTCAAATATTAAGGTTTACCTGCTGTACCACAAAGGAAAGCACCCTCATAAATTGCTCAATTTGTGCTAGTAACATTACAAAATTTTCTGTTGCATTATTGATAAGAGTCTCATCCAGGCCAATACCCTGAAAACGAGTGCACCATCTTGAAAGACCTCTTAGTTCTCCCATCCTGAATCCAATAATTTCTGCAGCAGGCTGGGAAATGGATATTCATCTTCAGCAGGGTCAAATCAGGAGGAGCACTCACCATACAACATTTTATGATAAGTAAATAGAAAAATAACACCTAAAATGGAGATTCCATTTGTGAAATAGATCATCATAATCAATTGTTGTCTAAACACAATGACAGAAAATGTTACACTCCAGTTTAGTAAAGGTTTATGTACAACAAGGAGCTATTATGTTTAAGCTATATTGTTTTAACTCACTCATCCTTGTCCCAAAGAGCAACCATCTAAGCTGATAGTTTTTCAACATAATCGCTAACATTCATTAGATTAAGAAAGTTGGCAGCCCTGAATTAAGAATGTGCCCTAGTAGGCCATCACAAACAGTTTGTGCCCAAAAAATTGTTAAATAGAAATAAGATTGTATAAGCAAACTACAAATGGCACAGCTTTAGTTGGAAGCTTAACTTTCATTTGTGGACTCAATCGTGGATCAATCAACCTGATGCACCTAATTGGATTAAGGTGTTTCATGATATGATATAAAAGTAGCAAGTAAAAGATTCTTCTGAAAAAGTAATTATTACATGAATTGCAGAGAAAAATTCAACCAAGCACCTGAATATGATCAAGGACAACATGCTGAAGCTCTTTTCCAGCACCACCAACGACCTTTGACACATGCTTCACTCCCTATTTAGTAAGAAATTCATAGAATAAAATATGCAAAATAATTTCCATCTAACAGGGAAAAAAAAAAAAAAGAAGAAAAAGAAATGATTACATAATGCAATGTTTACCAATTCACGCAGAGAGTTAACTAGAAAGTGATGAACTGGTGGACTAGTTTGAGTACCAACTCAGAAACTCCTCTTGGGGAGACGAGTCCAACCCTACGTGCATGTGATAGTGTAGAAAACTTAAAGATATTTCTTCTTATTCTATCTACAATGAAGAAGTAAATCTAAATAAATAGGAACAGTGAAGTTCCTTATTAGGAAACAACTTACAAGAAACAGAAAACAAAAAATAATAAAAGGAAAATTATTCTATTCTAAAATAGAAACAAATCCCTAAAAACTTGATAATCAAAATAGTTGACTAAATCAAAAGAGTAAATGAGAAATATACCCAAAATAAATTAAGAAATCAGGCTGCACTAATGTAGGAGAATCAGATTTCTACACTCCCCCTCAAGCTGGGTTATGAATGTTAATCATACTTAGCTTGGATTTCAATCTGTCAAAAAAGCTTCTAAAAAGAGCTTTAGTCAGAATATCTACAATTTGTGAACTTGAAATAATATAGGCCAGTTTGACCGACCCATTTTCTATCTTTTCCTTTATGAAATGTCGGTCCAGCTTTATGTGCTTGGTCCTATCATGATAAATAGGATTTTTGGCAATACTTATAGTAGCCTTATTGTCACAAAACAATGTCATAGATGTCAGTCTGAACTTTTAATTCTCCAAGTAACCTTATCAGCCAAATTCCTTCACAAATACCATGGGACATTGCTCTAAACTCAACCTCAGCATTGCTCCTAGCTACAAAATCTTGCTTTTTACTTCTCCAAGTGACCAAATTACCCCAAACATAAGTGCAATATCTAGTAGTGGACCTTCTATCTATTACTGATCCAGCTTAGTCACCATCTGTGTACACCTTAAATGCCCTGTCTATTGACTTTTTAAAATATACACCTTCACTAGGACTCTTCTTTAAGTACTATAGGATACAATGAACAGCCTTGAGATGCTCCTTGGTTGGATTATTCATGTATCTACTCACCATCCCTACTACAAACCTGATATCAGGTCGTGTATGGGAGAGGTAAATAAGCTTCCCAACTAGTTCTTGGTATCACCAAGGAAATATTTAAGGAACCCCAAGTCCTTTACGAGGAGTTTCTTCAAATCATCTATTCCTTTCTTGTGGTCTCCAATGATTATGATATCATCCACATAAACAATAAGAATAACTCTTTTTCCTTCATTAGTGAACTTAACAAATATAGTATGGTTAGATTGACACTGAAGGGATCCATACCTCTTCATTGCCTTGGTCAACCGTTCAAACCACGCCCGAGGAGACTATTTAAGTCCACACAAAGATTTTCGGAGTTTACACACTTTGCCCATGTTGTCTTGCCTTTCGAAACCGGGGGGAATTTCCATGTAAACATCTTCCTCCAAGTCACCATTTAAGAATGCATTCTTGATATCAAGTTGGTGAAGAGGCCAATCCAAGTTGGCTGCTAGTGACAATAGAACTCTATTGAATTGAGTTTGGCTACTAAAGCAAATGTCTCCTCATAGTCTATCCCATAGGATTGACCTTTGCAACAAGTCTAGCTTTGAACTTGTTTATACTTCCATCTACATTGTGCTTTATTGTAAAGATCCACTTACATCCAACTGGGTTTTTCCCTTTGGGCAAATCTGAAATTTTCCATGTCTCATTTTTTTCTAGTGTCTTGATTTCTTTAAGAACTGCTACCTTCTAATCTGGTTCATTGAGGGCTTCTTGAATATTTTTTGGAATTTGCACATTGTCAAGACGAGTAGTAAAGGCTCGAAAGTTTGGATTTAACCTGTCATATGAGATGTAATTGCAAATAGGGTACCGGTGCATAATCTCACACCTTTGCTTAATGCAATAGGAATGTAAAGGGCACCAGCTGGCTCACAAGTTTCAGTTTCAGATTCAATAAGGACATTACCTGTGTTAGTTTCAAGTTCTTGGAGACTCGGATTAGGTTGATTTTTAGTGCTAGGCTGAGTACAATTGTCCACTTCTTCTTGTGATTTTTGCTTCCTTGAGTAGACTATTAGTTCTTTTGTTTTTTCTTGCATAACCTTAGGATTTGAAGAGTCGAGAGTTGTTTGAATAGGTTAGGTTTTAGAATTTGCATGGCTGATAGGTTGGGTAGGTTGAGAATCCGGTTTTGAAGGGGTTGGTTGAAATTCTAGTTTTGAAGGGATTGATTGGGAATCTGGTTTTGAAAGGGTTGGTTGGGAAATTGGCAAGTCAACAGCTAAGAATTGATATTCCTTAGTAGTATTCTCCCCCTAAATATCATTATTGCTGTAGAATGGAGCATTCTCAAAGAAGGTGACATCCATAGAGTTATAGAATTTTTTTGTGATGGGTTAGTAACACCTATAGCCCTTTTGGTTTGGGGAATAACCAAGGAAGATGCATTTTAAGGCTTTGGGATCAAGCTTGTTGCGGTTTTGTTGGCTAATATAAACAAAGGCAATGCAGCCAAAGAGTTTGATGGGAATGGAAGAGATCAACCTAGTTTGTGGGTAGGAAGCAAGAAGAGTTTGAAAAGGTGTTTTAAAGCCAAGAACTCGAGAAGGCATTCAATTAACCAAATAAGTTGTAGTGAGGATAGCTTCTCCCTAAAAATATTTAGGCACATTAGAAGAAAACAAAAGGGATCTGGTCACTTCTATCAAATGTCTGTTTTTTCATTCGACAATCCCATTTTGCTGTGGAGTGTCAACGCAAGAGCTTTGATGGATAATGCCATGATTGATGAGGCAAGGGCCGAGAATAAAGCTGAAGTATTCCCTTCCACTGTCAATTTTAAGGACTTGGATTTTGGTTTGGAATTGGGTTTGTACTATGCTATTGAAGTTTTGAAAGATTTGGCTAACCTTGGATTTTTCTTTCATAAGGAATACCCAAGTGAGTCGAGTATGATCATCGATGAATGTAACAAACTACCTAGAACCTGTGATATTGTTAACTCTTGATGGTCCTCAAATGTCACTGTGAATTATTGAGAAAGGCTGAGATGACTTATAGGAGAAGCTAGGATAGGTATTTTGAGTGTGCTTGGAATGTTGACAAATTTCACACTAAAAATCTTTAAAGAAGTTATTGAATAATGAGGGAAATAGCCTTTTTAGGTATGAAATATTTGGATGTTCTAATCTATAATGCCATAACATGATAAGGTCATCCTTACTACTACTAGAGGCTAAGGTTGTACAAGCGTTTTGTGGTCTCCCAAGTGCATCATCTTTAAGAAGGTAGAGCCCTACACACATCCTAACACTGTCAATAACCCTTCCTGAGCGCAATTCCTAAAATTCACATAAGTTGGGAAAAAATTTAGTGAAACAACATCTATCCTTCATAAGTTTACTAATAGAAAGTAGGTTATAGCTTAAATTACGAACATGGAGGATAGAGTCAAGCGTTATGTCTTTCGAAACTACAATAGAACCTATTCATCCCACCCTTAAGAGAATGCCATCAGCAATTTTTACAGCAGCACTATCATAGCAAGGTCTATATGTGTTGAATAAGGATGCATCTCTAGCCATGTGATTAGATGCTCTTGAATCAACAATCCAAGATTATGTATTTCCCCAGGAAATTACCTTTTTGTGCTAGTAAACTAGTTTCAAATGTTATGACTTGTTTTGAAGTTTTTGTTGGAGTATCACCTTTTTGTGACTTTCCTCATGCCATACCTCTGCAGAAGAAGAGTTCTCACTCTTGCTAGCCATAAAAGAAACTTGTGTAGCTACGGTCTAATAGTTCAGGCTGACTTGCTCTGATAGCATGTAGAAAACTTAAAAAACAATTGTCCTTATTTCTTCTTATTTTATCTACAATGAAGGAGTACATCTAAATAAATAGGAACAGTGAAGTTCCTTATTAGGAAACAACTTATAAGAAACAAAAAACAAAAAATAATAAAAGGAAGAAAAATTATTCTATTCTAAAATAGAAACAAATCCCTAAAAACTTGATAATCAGAATAGTTGACTAAATCAGAAGAGTAAATGAGAAATATGCCCAAAATAACTTAGGAAATCAAGCTGCACTAATTTAGGAGAATCAGATTTCTACAGATAGAAATCAATAAACGGATATGTGGCAGAAATGGAAAATACGATTGTTCGTATTCTAACCAGAAGTTACCATGGTCAGTTATCAAACTAGATAGAGAATCAAACTTCTCATGAAAAGTGTGCATGGCATCTGACCACTGCTTGCACATTAATGATAATGATGAAATAACAACTTCAATTAAATCCACAATGTTACAAGCTTGTTGGGCTACTTGATGGAGTTCATTTTTCCTGCCATAGAAAGGAGATAAAAAAGGCTGAAGTAGATCATGAGAAGGATAAAGGAATAAAGCATATTCTTGATTTATCAAATTCAGATAAGTGACTGGTGCAAGATAAAAATGTGAGCTAGACGCATTACAGAAAATGCCATTGAAAATAACTCAAATGTAGATAAATCTAACACAACAAAACTTAATACCAATAAATTTACAAACAACCTGCAGGTATTCCCAGTTTCTCCAGCAAAGTTACCTCTTCCAAAGGAGGGAAGTATCGAACAGTAAGCAATGCAAGCCATGCATATCATGTATACCCAGCTGTCTCTCTGCTAATTTAACCTCATCTTGATTAAGTTCTCCAGAACATATTACTATCAGATGACAAAGGTCTTTTGACAAAGCAAACTAACAACAAAAAAATAGGGACATCAGATTTGTGTACCATCCAATGACAAAGGTCTGTACTAAGCACTGAAATAAACATCAATGGTTCTATTTTGGTTTATGGATGAGGGAAGTATTCTTTTAACATAAGTTAGTATGATTTATCCCATTCCCATTGCATGACCTTTCAACTAGAACAGCCCTGAAAAACACCTTACAAGTTGTCCGATTTATAAGAAAAAAATATAAATAAAAAAAATTAAAGCACAGTCAAGCCAAACTAAAAGAACTCGTCTTTGGTTGACTCTTTGAACAAAGCTCTCCCAACAAATAGTAATTCTCTCACTTTGCAGCACCTTGTTCTATGCATCATTAATAATTAAACACTCCAATAATCGTGAACGATGTCACCTTAAATGCACTGCTACCATTGTGAATTCATTAAATCAATGGATGAGCATACCTTGGAAATTGAAGCATGAAGAAGTTTGCAAGTAGCTTGCTCATTTGCAAAGGGAGTAGGAACAGACAACTCGTTTATGTTCTGGTAAACAATTTCATGTGCAAAATAATTCACATTAAAATGTAATTATAATGATAAATGAAATAAACTAATTAGAAAGAGAAAGCAAAAGCTAGATAAACAAAACATTAGGAAGAACATGGGTAACTCTGAACCATGAATACTAATCCAGGCAAATATCTAGTACTTTAGGAGAGAAACACAAGGGATTTCACAATGTCAATAGCAATATAAGAAGTAAAATGACAGAAGAGTGTCAATTTGAATAATCAAAGCCGTAAAAAGTTATTCTTTATTAGCCACACCAGCCCTAAAAAGCCTAGAATTATTTCCACAAGTTAGTTGATAGGATATAAGTCAATAATGTATATCTAGGTCACATGCTATAATAAGATCCATTACGAAGAGATGAACCATAGATCAACCAACAAGAGACACATTAGCGAAATACTAGTTCTATTAGTAGCTTACTATTGTCCCTATTGAAAAATAATCCAAATATATTAAAGCATATTTCTACTTCTTTGAATTTACTTCATCAGTTAATCAAAATAATCCAGAAGGTTATTTCCAAGATAGATGAGTAGCTTACTATTTTCCCTATTGGAAATATTCCAAATACACTAAAGCATATGTCTCCATCCTTGTCACCACTGCATAAAATGTTAAATTGTTGGTATGAAGAATTTGAAAGCTCTTGAAATGAATCTTCACTATCATCCATGAAGTCAGTCTCTCCAGGTACCAGTCCAGTCATCCAGGAACTCTTGGGGCAGGAGGAAAAGAAACGAGAAGTGCAGTCCTCATATGTTGAATTATTAACAGACTCATCCTATCATTTCAAGGTAACTTAAGATTGATCAAGAAGTTAAAATGTCAAACGCAATTTTTATATGAACCCATAGAAGGAAAACATATGTGACAGATATCCAAAAAAAGTTTAACTTCGGCAAGATATTTACTTCACAGCTCACAAGTTTAAAAAAATCTAGATATTTTAACCAAAAGACAAAAGCATGCTTTAATCACTTCTCTGTCCTCCTCCCAGTTTAGGGATACAACAGTGCCAGTGTGAGACTTTAAGCTTCTCAACAACTTTCCATTCCACAATAAATATGAAAAATCATGAGTTAGATAAGGAAATTTTGTTTAATTATGTGGACCAAGAATTAGACCTTAAGAAGATACACACCCATGTAATAAATGCCATGTCTCAGGTGCCAAAGCCAAAAAGTCAATCCAATATCAAGTGCAATGGACACATTAACAAACAAGCAGAATCAAAAGATCATGGTAAAAAAATCTTCCAACTTAAGTTGATATCCTCCATCTATAACTAGCTTCTAATAAGTAAATAAGTTTCTGAATACTGTCATAGTTACAGCAAAAATATTCCACTTAACAATGTGAGAACAGATTATAGAGGTTAATTCATGCAATGTGAAATCTCCATGCATAATATGTGCGAACAGGCTTCGAAAACTAACTGTAGTTCTAAGGAAGATTGTAGAATCAGGAATACCGAATATATAATACATACATGAGAACACAATCAATGACTATGATTATCAATAATCATAGAGGGAAACTAAACAGGCAAGAGACATGAAGAGAGAGTTTTGAATAAGCAACTTAATCAGACCTTAAAACTTGAATGAGTAAATAAAAGGGATTAACTCACTTCGACATCATGCAACGAAATTGTGCCATCCTCGAGCCCAACCGCTACTGCTTGACCGTCAGGACGCCAACATAAAGATGTAATGCACCTTTCTACAGAACCATAAACAAATAAATTATTCCACAAATGAAACACTGGAATCAAATCCAACAGCTCATCAAAAGAAAATAATAATAAATAATTAAAAAGAACATTCTGATAAATACCAGGAGAAATTGTCCAGAGTCTTTGCCAATTGAATCGGTGCAGCAAAATCTTGGAGTCCTCAACAACCAAAGCCAGTAAATCTTTCTGTCGATTTCATTCTGCAATTTTAATCTAACCCACAAAATTAATGGAAAAAGAAAAGAAAGAAAGAAAGCGAATAACACGCATGATCGTAGATATTTAAATAAAATCGAAAAAAAAAAACAAAAAAAGTATGCGAAAATGAAATTGTAAAGTGAAAGATATAAACCTGAAAGGCAACAGGTTTGTCGAATTGGAGATGAAAAGGAAGCACACGTGGCGTTTCATCGGTTTCCATCGCTAAAAACTCTAGATTTTTTCTGTAATGTTTGGCTAGTTTCTTCAGAATCACAGAAATCAATTTGAAGAAAATACTAACATTTTAATAGCCTGCAAAAAATGGCATTTCTGGTAAAATTGCGCTGAAACCCTAAATAACGGCAAGGGAAGAAGTAAAGACGGCGTCGAACTGAAAGAGAAGAGCTGAAGAGGCAGCGAAGAGGAGCGGAATGTAAAAACGATGGCGGGGTTTTTTGGGGGGTTTAAGATTAAGAGCTCAGTTGATTTGCTGGGGGAGGGAAAAAGGAGCTGGGTTGATAAACGGGTGAGTCGGCCAGTCGGGTTCCGAATCAACGGTTCGCTTTGAATTTTAAAAAGTAATAAGAAAAAAAGATAAAAACGCCGCTGCCGGGGATCGAACCCGGGTCGCCCGCGTGACAGGCGGGAATACTCACCACTATACTACAACGACCGCGTTGGCGAAATCTGACATTTAATATATTGTAATTCATTTATGGACCAAATTGTTTTATGACTAGACCCCGAGTTCTCAATTTGGGCTAAACGGAGGAAGTAGTGGTTTACGACCTTATGGGCTCTGAATTTTTAATATTAAAATTGGGTGCATAAAGTAGAGGAAGGAATCAGGTATTATAATAATGAGTCATAATGATCGAAGCCATGTATGACACGTTTGTTTGACGTCCCAGATAAAAACAGGGGCATTTAACTCTAACCGGCTTGATTGAAAAGGCAAAGAAACTCTCTCTCACCATTTCCTTCGTTGAAACACTGAATTTCTCCTTGTATCGATGGAAGATCGGGAGGGTTCTGTTTGTTCACAGCAAAGCACTGATTCTGTCCGTTCGGTTTTAGCTGTGATCCATGGCCACTATCATCGAACCGATCTCAATTCTACTCAATCCACTTCTAAACGTCCCAAATTTTCACCAATATTTCCTACTCCTTGCGTAGACTTGATCAGCGCTTTACCCGATTTCCTCATACAAGAAATCCTTTCTTTTTTACCCATTGAAGATGCAATTAGAACCAGTGTTTTATCTCAAAGATGGAAGCCTCTTTGGACTCAAATACCAACCCTTTCCTTTAGTCATAACTGCTTTTCTTTCAAGCTCGCTAAATTCACTGACTTTGTTAACAAAACCCTGGACCACTTCATTAGTCCTAAGATAAAAAATTTCATGATCAACTTCAAATTCGAAGAGTCCATGGCTGCTCGCCTTGACGAATGGGTTCTTTTTGCTACAAGCCACCATGTTGAAAAGCTTTCTCTGGTTTTTGATGGAGGGTTGGTTTATGCTCCATTTGCTGAATCTACGCCTTACAGGTTGCCTCAGTTTTTGTACATTAATTCATCTTTGAAAGATTTAACTTTAAGACAATGTGTTGTCTCACCTGAAGCTGAAAGCCATGTTTCTTGGCCATCCCTTAAAGTTTTATCTGTCAATTATTCCAGGTTGAATAACGAGGCAATCGAAAATATTGTGTCCGGTAGTCCGAATTTGCAAAAATTGAAATTGCATAACTGTGAAGGGATTAATCGAATAAGTTCTAGGAGTTTGGAAGTTCTAGTGATAAATGCAATCTATGATCCTTATGAGAAACATGAGTCAGTGACAGAGATTTCATGTCCAAATCTTCAGTCATTGAGCCTATTGGGTTTTTTGTACCGGAGAACCTATAGGTTGATGCATGTTTCATCTTTGTCCAAAGCTAATCTGAGTTTTGTAATGACTATTGACAAAAAAGACAAGTATGATTGCACAAAGCATCGAGATATCTTGAGGGAACTGCTAGAAAAGCTTTGTCATGTTGAGAAATTGACCATGGGGACTTGGTGCCTTCAGGCAGGTTCTCTGACTCAGTGTTCTCTGTATATTCATTCAGCATTCTATACATATTGGATCAATTTATCTATATGTATCTTTTAGAGTTGAATGTCAAAACCAATCCTCAATTAGGCATTTGAACTTTGGATTTTACATTCACTCTTTCTTTTCATTAATGCTTCTAGGCATTATGGTTTAGATTATTTTGAAGACGTGTTGTTTTTCCACATTAAAGCGTTGTTGTCGACTTGTTATGGTTTCCCCTGCTAATGTTCCTTTTTGTGTCTCCAATCTTGTAAAAGGTTTTATCAATATGGGAAATAAAGGGCATATCTTCTCCATTGTCAAAACGCAACTGTTTGGTACTGGACACAGAAATATGCGAATGGGATCTTCCCGGGATTGTGAGTCTGCTTCAAAGTTCACCTTATCTGAAGAAACTAGTGATAAATTTATCTCCCTGTGACAACTCTAAGGTAAGATCATGCCTTCTTTCATACATTAGAAAACCTGTATATTGGACTGTGGAGAACTTTCAGTGAATATTGAATGATGAGTTATGATCTTGATTCAATCTAATAACTTTGGTGTTTTGTAGTGATCACTGTGGGAGAAGGAGAGTAACAAGCTATATACAAACCAAAAAGGCAAAAACTAATGCAAATTAACACCCACTATGACAAAACTAAACTGAAGCCTTTCTCTATGCAGCATTTCAAGTGCAGATTCAAGATGTTATGTTAGTATTACATTAAAAGATTTCTTCATTCAAGGCAAAATTCAAGACAAAACCAAGCAATAAACTTCATAGCATTCATCATATGGCCATTTTCAACATCCTGAGAACAATATTTATACGATTTTGTGCTTCAAAAGACATCAGATATTATCATTCAAAGTTAATTAAACCTCCAAGCTTTCTCATTTATAAAGCATACACTTATATCATTCTCCTTCTCTCTATCCTTTTTTCTTACGTTTTCTGCCTGTGTTCCTTCTATGTTCTGTCTGTTGTCTCATTTCTATTCTATTTCCTTTTTGATTTTCTGGCTTATATGATATTATGTTTTGCATTTTTTTTAATTCTTTTCAAGCTCCAAAGATTAAGTATTACAAAAGGTCGCGAGAACAGTATAACTGGGCCAACTTGTAAGATAAAAAGAAAGAGAAAAAGCCCATTAAAATTGGGTTCTCAACCCAACATTTTGTACCACATACATACATAGAATAGAACGACTTTGTCTCAGTAGATTATCTATGCTCTTCAGAATTCAGATGCTGAAACAAATAAATATAGTACCTAGCAAAATGTCTTGCTTGAAATTCTTTAATTGTTGAGACCTAATGTGTACTTTGTCTGTGTAGTTTGAGTTTGATCAGGAATTTTTCGACTCTTACGAGTTTGATGGAGTAAAATTCCTGACTTCGGCTAACTGGATTTTCAAGTGTTTTCTGCAAAGCCTAGAGGATATTGAGTTTACTGGTTTCCAGCCAAGTTCTTCAGGGTCTGAACTTTTAGTAAAATTGATGCAATTTCTTCTGAAGAATGCAAAAGTGCTCAAGAAGGTGGTTATATATGAACAAAGTGGCTCCCTTCATCAATCCTGGAAATCTTCTGGACCAAACAGGAATATGGGGAATGCTAAGAGAAACCAGATTATATCGACCATATCAAAGAGCATTCCCCAAATGCAATATTCCAGTAGATAGTTCTACAGGGTTCAGTTTTTTTTCTCTTAATTGAAAATAGTTTTCCCTGAACTTCCTAGTTAGAAGTATCTCATCTTTTTACTGCAAGACAGTTTCTTGGAACATCTGGACAATAATGGAAGTGTTGAAACTTAGCAGTAAGAAACTTGTTTATAATTAGAGGGAATATTTTCGATTTACACTAGTATTTATTTCTAGTAATTGGTAAAAGAAACCAAAGGAGAGTGGAGCGTGTGATGTATATAAGAGACAGGCATTAAGAAACCAGACAGCAAACAAAATCAGCCTGCCTTGTAGTATTGTTGAGCTTCTTGGTTTTGGCACTTGCCTGAACACATGAGCTGACGAAAAATAATCCACGGCTTAACAATGTCTACCAGCAGAAATCTCCAAGACAAGCTCCAAATAATCAGGCTGGTAGTCGGTTCTATGATCATGTTGTGATTGTTGTTTGTTACCTGACTAAGATTCCACAATGATCTTGCTAATTGTGAATTATTTATTTATTTTATTTTGGTTTCAAAATTCACATATTATATGGTATAGCGTTTTGGATTTCAATTCCTCGTATGGATGCTAATATTAATGAGTTAATAGAATTGTCAGTTGAGTGTTTAATTTTTAAGTTTGATTAAAAGATTATCATATGTTTTGGTTTTTAGTTTTTAACACATCTTAAAGGGTATACATCATTTTATTTTTGTTAAATTTTTATAATAATGCCAACAATATTTTTTTAAAATTCTTATTCTTCCTTTAAACCCTTCCTATCTTACCATTTATCTTATTAAAAAAATTATCATTCACATAAATTTTTTTGAATTTATAATATTTACACGTCAATTTTAATGACATATCAATTAATTCAAAAGATAGTTTGTATATTAATAATTTTCATTTAAATAATAGTGTAAGGACTTAATTGAACATAATTAAAAAAAAAAACTTAAAATTTCATTTAAATAAACCGAGGAGTAGATTTCTAGCGCATTATTGGCCATTGTCCAATAGGGCCATTATACAAAAGTTAAGGAATATGGTAGTGGAAAAGGGGCATATATATAATTCCATTAGGCCAACAGGGAAAAGGGAATAAACCAGCTAATATTTTATTCTATTTTATGAGTGTATGATATTTTAGAGAATTAGATTCCAATAAATAGAAAAAACTTAATTACATTTTTTTTCGCTTTTATACTTTGTTGACATGGCTTCTTCTTATTGGAGAAGGAAGGGACCCACAGCAAGCAGTTGCGTTCCTAAGAAAAAAAAAAAAAGGAAAATCAATGTCGAATTTTCATTCTCTTCATCGAAAGGCCATTATAAATTTACCAGAAACGCAGGCCTCAATCAATTCAACTCACCACCATTTTCAATCTGCTAACCCAACTTCACGACTACTCCACGCCTCCATCTCTGCTTTGCCCGGCGCCAATTAACGGTTCAATTTTCCGCTGTGAATATACTTTCATGTAAGCTTTTATTGCTTTGATTTTTCTTTAAGATTTTTATTGATATAAAATTTAGATACTTGTAATATTTTCTGTTTAGGTTCAATTACAATTCTTTATTTTTCTTTTTAATTTGTGGAATTCAGGCCAAAATGTAAATTTGTTAAGCTATTGATGATGTTTTTCAGTTTCAATGGCAATTTATATGTGGTTCCTTCCCTTTCAGAGGTCGTATTTGGTGATTAAGGTTTGATCACTGAATCATCGATGGCTGAACCTTTAAAGAAGTTGGTTTCATGTGTTATCCTTGATTTGGATGGCACACTTCTTAACACTGGTAAGCTTTTCTCTTCACATTACTTTGAATTTTTCTTTATTATGCTTTTTTACCCAAGGAACATGTTATTTGGTTGATAGTTATTTTTCTTTCTTTTTTTTTTTTTTTAAATACATGTACATATTATCCACTTTTGGCCTTATTTATTTGAAATAAAAGAAAATTATAGTTTTGGCCTTGGGGTACTCAGAGTATGGACCCAATATTGAAATATTTGAGACTGTTCCTTTCTTGAAGTTATGTTATGCAACTATCTGTTTCTGATTGGTTTTGGGGTTATAGTTAGATTTATACAGTGATGATTTGTTTTCAATTTCGTGACAGATGCTGTAGTAAGTGAGGTTTTAAAAGGTTTTTTGGGTAAGTATGGGAAAAAATGGGATGGAAGAGAAGCTCAAAAAATAGTAGGAAAAACACCATTGGAAGCTGCTGCAGCTATTGTGGAAGAATATGGCCTTCCTTGTGGAAAGGATGAATTTCTACCAGAACTCTATCCACTATTTTCTGCTCAGTGAGTCATGTTTTATGTGCTTGCTGTTAGATGTTGAAGTAACTGGAACAATTGTAACATTAAGGCTCTTATTTATGCTCTTGGTAGGTTATGCAACATTAAACCTCTTCCAGGTGCTAATCGACTACTTAAACATTTGAGTGCTCATGGCGTGCCTATGGCTTTAGCATCAAACTCTCCAAGGGGAAACATAGAATCCAAAATTTCTTATCACCAAGGTTTTTTTTTTCATAGGAACTTCTAGGAACTTTCCAAGATCTTATCTAGCTGTCTACTCATCAGTTCTCTTTGCAGGTTGGAAGGATTCCTTCTCTGTAATTGTTGGCGGTGATGAAGTGACTGCAGGGAAGCCAAGTCCTGAAATGTGAGTTGCATTGATATACTATCTGATCTTCTGTTATTTCTCTGATGTGAATTCAAATTCTATCATTTTTTGTTTTACCTTGTCAAATTCTAACACTCTCGGTTTTCCCATTAAAGATTTCTGGAAGCAGCTAAAAGGCTAAATACAGAACCTTCAAGCGGCCTGGTAATTGAAGATTCTATGTAAGTGACCTCTGCTTTTACTTAGGTATCATGGCTAATATGTTTTCCCATTTGATGATTCACCTTTTGTTACATTTTCCTTTAGTAATAATTTAGTTCATTTTTACCCAGAACATGCTCTAAATAATATTATTTTGTGACATGGAAATCTGTAGGCTGATGCTTAAAAATGCTACCATTTTTTTACAAGCTAATCATTCCTTGAAACAATTCATCTGGATACTTTGCATAAGTATCATATGTTTATAATAGCAGCTAGTATTTTTGTTGATTTTCTCAGTACTTTTTCTTTAAGAGAACATTGTATTTCTAATTAATTTAAATGGAGAACAGCATAAAAAGAAAAAGATATATATATATATATATATAAAAGGAACTCTAGCTGCCTCAAATTTCTACTAAATTTCATTTGCTCTATCAGTCCTGTTGGAAGCTTAACCTGGCAGAGCATTGGAGCAAGCCTTCAGTATTGCCTGGATCCTTATTTTTCCTGAAATGTGGTCTTGTAATGTTTTAGATAGTTTTGTTTTTCTTATAAATTAGCACAGACATAGATTAAATTGATATTCATAAGCATAGAACATAACCTTTATCTCTAAAAATGGGACATGGCCATGTCAGACCAGGTGTTACAGCTGGTAAGGCTGCCGGAATGGAAGTAGTTGCTGTGCCATCTGTTCCAAAACAAGCTCATCTTTACACCTCAGCAGATGAAGTGATCAACTCTCTCTTTGATTTGCAACCTGAAAAGTGGGGCTTACCTCCATTTCAAGATTGTAAACCTCTTGACACCTCCCTCTTTTTCTTATATCCTGATTAGTAACTTTTCCTTTGTAAACAATCTTCATAAGAATATTATGTTGTGATTGCAGGGATAGAGAGAACTTTGCCAACAGAAGCTTGTTGTATTGGTGGTCCCGTCATTAAGGGATTTGGTCGTGGCTCAAAAGTCCTTGGAATCCCTACAGGTTTGTGATAAACTGTTCTGGTTTGTTAAGCTAGTATTTGTCTTTACATTATTTTGGCCTTTGAATATTTCTGAAAAGAAATCTCAGTTAGAGATCTACTTCTAACTCAGACATCCTAATGACTTTAGTAAGAGTCTTGAACTATGTTGCTTTGATGTAACATCGAGAGTGTTAGAAGTTGTTCATATTTGATTTCTTATTTTGTCCTCTATTTTGATTCACATTCTGTTCTCCCTCATTTCCCTTTCTTCTTTTTCCAGCCAATTTGTCAACAGAAGGTTATGCAAGTCTCCTTTCGGAACATCCTTCAGGTGTATATTTTGGTTGGGCTGGATTATCCACAAGAGGTGTTTATAAAATGGTCATGAGTATTGGTTGGAATCCATATTTCAACAATGCTGAAAAGACTATAGTGAGTACAATATTAACTTTGATGATAACCTGCGCAAGTCTTGTCACCGTTTGATAACTCTTATTTTCTAAATTTAATTCATGTTGCAGGAGCCATGGTTGCTTCATGAATTTAATGAGGACTTCTATGGTGAGGAATTGCGTCTTGTCATAGTTGGCTATATACGACCTGAGGTATCATTCAAAACAGTTAGCATGCTGTAGGAATTTTTCCCCAGTCATACTACTCTGCTTTTTACCATTAAGCTTTACATGTAACAGGTCAATTTCCCATCCCTTGAAAGCCTGATAGCAAAGATTCACGAGGACAGAGAAATCGCAGAGGGAGCGCTTGATCTTCCGATATACTCAAAACACAAGGATGACCCATATCTAAAAAGTTCTTTATAGGAAATTCAATCATTCATGATTTACTGGATTTTCAGGCTTCATCTGGTTAGAAAGATACTAATTGTTAAATTATTGTTTCCTTATTTTGATAAAAATGCAATCCCTATAAGCACAATGGACGTGAAGTAATGCCCATGAAAGGCAAAAAAGTTGGAAAAGATAATTTTTTTCCCTTTTTCTTTTTCTTTTTCAGTCAGTATATATTTATATCTGGAAACAATGAAGAAATGCAATTATTTATCTTGATGAGGCTACAAACATAGATTAAGTTTTCAATCTGATGTCTTCTGACATAGAGATCAAGTTTTCAATCCGATGTCTTCTGACATAGTAGCATGAAAATGCCTTTTCCTAAAATTCGTTTACTACTTTTTTTACATCATTTTCTTGATCCTTATTCATATCAATAATAAATCCAAGTTTTCTGCTGCAAATATCAATATCATGGTTCTCTTTATACGTGTGCTAAATATAGAAGCTTGAAAAATCATCAATTATATAATCTATATCTTCTAATTAAAGCCTATAATTATCAATTATATCAAAATCATCCCAAAACCTTCTGTCCTGACAAAAGGAAAATATCCACTAATTGCCGATAATTTGCTATGTGCTGTTTTAAACAACCGAGAAAGTATTGGCGAAAAATGCAATTACACTAAACTATAGTGGCTCCTTCACAAAATAGCCCAAAAGAGAGACTCAAAACTGGGACTGGCAAAGACCAATGCGACGGACATAACATAGTCTAACAAAGCTCCTCTTTCTCAAAGCTTCAACTTTTGGCGGCAAAATGGGAGACGAGGAACGACAAGAAGAAAATCAGCAACCCAACTCCCAAGTTGAACCGACAGAAACCTCAGAATCTCCGAACCAACAAGAATACGAGTGGCCTAAGATTAGATTCGATGTTCCTCCGCACAGAACTTACCACTTTCATAAGCAGTTTAGAACTGGGAACCCTAACAATTTTCTCAAAGGCGTCAAATGGTATTTTTCGTTGCCCCTTTTGCCCATGTATCTCTTTTTTCTTACCACCAATGCCATTTCCCTTTTTTACATTATTTTAATTTTTTTTAATTTTCTGGGTTTGGTCTTTGCAGGTCTCCTGATGGCTCCTGCTTTCTCACCAGTTCTGAGGATAATACTCTTCGCCTTTTCTCTTTGTAATTTTTCTAGCATTTTTTTTCTTGTTCATTTTTTTATGGTGTATTTCTAGTGGATTTTCATTTTTTTTAATTGTTATTAGGCCGGATAATGGAAGCAGTGATCAAGTTAATGCTTATCCTTCAGTCTCTGAAGAAGGTAATTTTTTATATTTTTTATACTCGTGATAGCAGGTTTTATGAGAGAATTCGATGGGGCTGTTTTGAGATTTTAATTTGTGGGTTTACTTCTATATGTACAGATTCGTATGCTGCGGAACTTGTTGTGAGTGAGGGGGAATCTGTGTATGATTTTTGTTGGTATCCATACATGTCTGCTTCAGGTGCTTTTCTGTACAATTTTTCTATAGTTGTTAGGATTATATTTTGATTTGCAGTTAAAATATATTCCTATGTAACTGTGGTGTCGTTTGATGCAGATCCGGTTACCTGTGTGTTTGCTACTTCTACTCGTGACCACCCAATTCATCTTTGGGACGCTACTTCTGGCCTGGTAATCATTCATTTTGCTCACATATTTACATTTTTTGAATGAGAGTAATGATTTTATTATTATATCCTTTAATAAAACTTGATGACCACGTTGCATCTGCAGTAAGAAAGCATGATTTATTAAGCCTTTTGCATTCACTATATTTGGTTTCTTAACTTTTACAGCTACGTTGCACATACCGAGCTTATGATGCTGTGGATGAAATAACTGCTGCCTTTTCAGTTTCATTTAATCCTGCAGGGACTAAGTAAGTAAAACATCCTCATGAAGGCATCATAATTTGCTTCATGTCATTTTTTGTTGTATTGAGTGTTTATGTTTTGAGCTTGGAAAATTTTCCTTGAGATTTTGAAAAAAAAAAAAAAAATAAATTCTGAAACCTATATTGCCTGTCCATGTACCATATTATAGTTTTTGCCTTAATGTTTGTAATAAATCAATTATTATGTTGTCACCTTTGGGGATTTCCCATTTATACTTTCCAAAGAACTTTAGTTATAAAATAGGCATTTTCACTGTGTTTCACTGATGGACCCAACAACATTCTTATTGCTTTCTCTTTTTCATCTTTCTTCCTGTAGGGTATTTGCTGGATACAACAAATCTGTTAGAGTGTTTGATATACATCGCCCTGGTAGAGATTTTGCACAATATTCAACAATACAAGGAAATAAAGATGGTCAAACAGGTAATTTTCCGAACTGAGCTAGTTAATGTTCCTAATGATTAGAGAAACTAAAGCATGAAGCATATTGTCTTGATCTTACTCATCTACAGGTATTATATCAGCAATTGCTTTTTGTCCTACTCACACTGGAATGCTAGCTACAGGATCTTACAGCCAGACTACTGCAATCTATAGGGAAGACAATATGGAGCTGTTATATGTTTTACATGGCCACGAGGGTGGGATAACGCATGTAAGTGATCATTTATTTTCATTTCACTTGGTTTTATTTATTATATCAACAAGGAAAAGCAAAATGTTTTCATTTTTTCCTAACCTATCGTTCAGGTGCAATTCTCAAAAGATGGAAATTATCTATATACTGGAGCCCGGAAGGTAACATACTTTAATATCCTCATTCCATATACAACCAATTAAACAGAGGACAAAGATTTTGGTTGCCCTTTTCTGGTTCTTGGTTCTTGAATGACAGAATCATTGTTTTATATCATGTAAATGGCAACTCATTGGACTCCGGAGATGTTTATGCCAGCTGGAGTTTATTCCTTTCTTATGAAAATAATTGGAAGATCTAAAATGCATGTTGTTTTCTTTTACTTTTGTATGATAATAATTAAAAAAATGCTGACTTGTTGATTAACTAACTAATATTCATATTCAGATCAATGCCAAAGAAAAGTGGTTGTATATCAAAATCGGTCTTTAAAATTCTGGACTCTAGTACAATCCTATTCCCTATAAGTACAATCTTATTCCCTATATCTAAACCACCAAAACTTTAATCAGAATCATTTGCTAGGCCAATTTCAAAATGATCCTATAATAAAGAGTTATAGTAGTTGTTGGTATTATAATTTGTTATTGTACGTGTTGATTTGTAAGTACACAATATCACCTCTGTCTGCATTTTATGAGTTACTTTTCATTTTTGATTCCCTTTAGACTTTTCATTTGAGAAAAGTTGCTCTCTTTGTTTGCTTTTTCTTGTATGGCATTACCACATAATGGTGAATGCTTAAAATTGACAGTGTCTTTTATCAATTCATCTAGGATCCTTATATTATGTGCTGGGACATAAGAAAAGCTGTTGAAGTTGTCTACAAGTAAGTAATTTTGATCTTATGGATGGTGCTGCAATTTTTTTCTTCAAAAGAAGAAATCAAAACAAGGAGAAATGTATATACATTCAAGCAATGCAAAAGAAGAAATCAAAACAAGGGGAAATGTGCATACATTCTAGCAATGCAACTAAGAGAAACTCATTTTGAGCATTCTGAGTACCCCTGAAACTAAATATTTAATAATACCCATCGGGTTTTAATACCAATGTCATGAAACATTCCCAATGATACTTGTTTGTGGATTCAAAAAACCACCTAAAAGGGTAGAAATAGGTGATACTTAGTGCCCTAAAAATTTGTAAAAGCGGGGTGCAATATTATGAAGATCCGTATATGACATACCTATTTGCTTATGCAGCTCTTAATTTCCTTGACTGCAAGGTTTAATTTATCATGCACACTGCTAGTCACAAAATTAAAGTGCCTGTGTTTTCTTATGTGCGCCTTGTTTGTAGGTTATACAGATCAGCAGAATATACCAACCAACGAATAGCTTTTGATATTGAGTGCTCTGGTCGACATCTTGGTACAGGTGGTCAGGTAAAAATTTTGTTTTTCATCCGGCACTGCTGAATAGTTAATGAATAATTAATTCTTTGCTGGTTTATCTGAAATTTATTCCAGGATGGTCTTGTTCATATTTATGATTTGCAAACTGGGCAATGGGTATCAGGCTTTCAGGCTGCAGCTGGTTAGATGTCCTACATTCTTTTACGAAGAAATTGATTCATTTTAGCCTATCTTGAGCATGATCCGTTTCTTACCAGTTTTCACTTAATCTGCAGACACAGTTAATGGTTTCTGTTTCCATCCCTTCCTGCCAATGGCTACCTCTTCATCAGGCCACCGAAGATTTCAAATTCCTGAGGATGACAATGAGAAGTTGCATTTGAGAGGTACTTCTGGTCACATCAACGGCTAGTCCTTTACAATCCAGTCTCATATTAACTTCGTATTTAGGTTTTTTTATTTTCACTTGTTTCATTTAACAAATACTTGAGTAGTCGACAAAGAATTATATGGGGCTTTTTTGTACATGTCAATGATTTCATTCTTTATTGCATGTAGGTGACGAAAATTGTGCTTCTGTCTGGAGTTTTGCTTATGATATTAATTCTGGGGAACAATCTTGAACGTTGATCTTTTTGACAGTCCATGGAAACGTGGAAGCTTTCCCAATTCTGTAACTCGGCGAATGTGTACCAATTTCATTTTTAAGTGTTAATATTTTCCCAATTATGGTACATTTGTCACATTCAACACAAATAAGGATGACGATTCAGCAAATTCTTGTTTTTTTGCCTACATCAAGTGATATATATTTAAGAATTTCCATTAGCAAAATGCTAGTCATACACTCTCCGCCAATTTTAAGGATAGTGCCTAAACTAAACGCTCCAACATATCCACCTCGAGTGGATTAGGATGTCTCATTACGTGCGTTATTTTCTAAAAAATGTCTCTATTTCAGCGGAAACCTCTCTTCCTAATTAGGGTGGCTTATTCAGTGGAGCGTCTTTCAACAGAGCTTCTCGCTCAGACTAGCTGATAATGAAAGCCAGGACTCCGTCTTTCGAGTTCTCCACTTGCTTTTAGTGCTTGACAACAATGTTAATGCAGCTAAGTATAGCAGCTTTCAGTATCATTATCGAGGGAAATTTCTGCTGCCTAAGATAATTCTGTCATGGACAACTACTGGTTAGCTTGTTGATCAAGATTATTCTCCTTTGGGCGATGATTTAAGCATTATTGTCTTGAACCACTCAAAAAAGTTGGTACGGGAAGCTATTGCAAAATATGGGGAGAGAATAACAGGCACATTTGGGAAATATTGCACGATAAATGTAAATCACAACAAAAGTATAGAGAAGTCGACTTGCGAATGAAGAATAAGAATAATTCCATCCCCGAGCTCAGCATAAAATCTTGGTGCCAAGACCACTCTCAGCCTTGTACGCTGTTCATGTTCATAATCGGATTTTTTTTTTAATGCAGAGTGAGCTGAAGATTAAATTAAATTCCCTTGTACTTTAAATCTCGCATGTCAATTATGCATGGATTCTCAGATCGGTGACACTGAGTCTGCAAAATCTCCCTTTTCTTGACCAATATTTTGATCTTATCAAGGTAGAAATACTCTACTCTAACCCATACCCACCAAAAAGAAGGTTGAAATTCATTGTTCTTTCCACATTCAATCATAGACCTGTATTATTTTCTTGGAAGTGAAGATAGAATTTGGTGGTAGACCCAAAACTAACACTTTATAATTGTAGACAGAGCCTTGTTTTGCTTTCAATATCAAACCAAACTATGGAAGCTAGAGAACAGCAAAAAAGCCTTTGAAAAAATCTTTCTCTTTTAATATGCTTTTCAGTTTTTATATTTTCCAACAATTATAGCTTTTTAACGTAATGCTTTTGGGGTGTACCTTACTTTTTTACACATACCATGTGCATAGTAAGCGAAAGAATGGAAGGGTATTTATCAATACACATCACGCTTCCTGGTCCAAGTTAGCTAATCACTAGTGGGTTAGGCTTTTTTCAATTTATGGACGTATAGGCAGCGGAGGCTTTGCATTCATTCGATTGTAGCTGAAGGCAACAGCTGGGAGTTTTTTGGCTGCTTTCGGACCATCCACTCCATTTTTGTTGCTGGGTTTCATCGTCAATCCCTTATTGAATTGCCTAAGAAAATGGTTTCGTTCCCTTTTAATTTGTGTTGTAAAACCCAACATAAATGCTGTGGCTTGCCATGGATTCTCCTTTAGTTCTCCTCCTAAAAGCAAGCTTTTGAATACTTAGCAGTTTACCAACTTGATTAATGTTGGGGGATTAACTCACCAAAATCATGTAGCTAAAAGCCTTGATAGTTGGACTTAGACCCCCTCCCAAATTGATTGAAAGAAAGGGGAAAGAACAAAGAGTAGAGTGTTTGTTTTGATGAATCTTTCTTATATAGCTATTGCAGACAATAATATTCCTAGAATTCCATTTTCGTGAAAGTAACCACTCGCGGTAGCATGAATTCAGCTCAGGTCCTCTCATGTACCTAATTAGGGGGTAAGACAGCAGCTGGAATTTGGACCTCAGCCTTTATTTGTAGGTCGGTAAACCACTACTGGGGCCAGGGTGCGTCTAATTTTTCCTACTATTCCATCCTACAGAAAACACTTGACATCTTTTACTTTATAGGCATTTGCCATTGATCAAGTAATGCACCTAAAACCCTTTAATCTCAAATGTCTCAATCCTATATATGGCACATGTCATCCTCTTAACGGTTGACCCCATGTTCAAACAGTTTTTTTGAGGCCAAAACCACCCTGTTTAAATGAATTTGTCCCTTGTTGAGCAATTTTAACACTCGACAGACCATTTATATCAGACTAGCCAAAGATTACACTGCACTAATTACTGATGACAATTACAAACTGCAATTTACTAAAGTTGATTCTTTTCTTAATCAAGTGTTAGAACAGCTGATCAACATGTAAGTAGATGGTGGAGAAATGGAATGTAGCGAATAGAAATTTTTAACCGTCAGGCCATTCATCTTTGAAACAAAATGGAGTAAAAAGTTTGGACTTTGGACCAAGGCTATATAACACGTTGCTATTTTTGCTTTTCAGGTTCTATCAGGTGCTACAGAAGGGCCTAATTAGGAAAATTATATACCAATGTAACCAATCTTACCAAATTCCATCAAAGCTGTTTTCGAAATTTTGTTATCTGTGATTGACTACTTGCATTGCATTTAACGTTTAATGTATCAAACTTTACTTTTATTTAAGTAATTAAAACTTAAACAGGATTATCAGAAAGATTGAAGGAAAGATACAGATACATCAAGCACTGCAGTAATACTCGACCACGTTTTGTCACGGAATGAAAAGGTAGAATAAAAGAAAAAGAAGGGAGAGGGTGAGGTAGGAGAAGGTCCCCAACATCACAAGACAACTTCCTTTTCAAATAAAAGAAAAGATGAAAACCATGATGAGAAAATGAAAAGAAAGATGATCAGGAAGCAATGGATTTTGTGTTAAGTGAAAGGAAAAAGGAAGAAATAATTCTAGAAAAGTTCATAGCCCCCACAGTACCAATATGTTCAGCACTTGCACAAATATTGTTTCAACCTCCAAGCGACTGTCCCAAGTTTTCTTCATATATATTGTTATAAGCCTGCTAATTAAAGAGGATGCAACTGAACTGTTTGCTGTCAACTTATGTTTAATGTATCTTGGACCTTTTTTTTCCATTTCAGATGCCATGTCATTTACTTTTAGCCAACCCTGAATTAAAACGTAAGAGGGAAATAAAGATAATAATAAAAATAAAAATAAGGAAAATTGTTCATTTATTTTGTTAGATATATATATAATTAGATCTGACAGGCTCCACTATCCACGACCTGGTGCAAGAGAACCGATACTCCACTTCCACTGGCAAAGGTCATCAGTTCATCCATGGCCATGCTGCCATATTTCTGATATGGAAATCATATTTACTTGACTCTTTACGTTTCCATTTTAAAAAAATAGTGTCTAAGAAGTAAGAACCATGGAATTGGGAGTGACGAACAGTTACAAAATGGTCCAAACTCTTCTAACTCTGTTTCATGTCTTAATACACTGATTTAATCCATGGAAATTGGACACAAACAATGTAAGCAGATTAACCATCTTTTAAGATTGATATTTAAAGATCTTTTGTCCATTTCGTTACTAGACAAAAGTCCATCACTAAGGTCATCTCGGTAATTGCGCAGTCCCAACACTTTCCTTATATTCCATGCCTCACTCTTACGCACTCTTCAAAAGAGCAAAAACAGAGACTTGTCAAAATAACAAAAGTTGAGAAACAGTCAAGCAGTCCCCTTTAAAAACCCTCCACTGAACTTCTTTTTCATTTTTACTTGTGCAAAGTTTCCTTCTTTATGGAAGAAAATGAGAATGAGAATTGGAATTGGAATCCTTGGGAGTTTTTTAAGTCGATTGAAATTGTTACCATGGTTTCTTCTTCAAAAACAATTTATAATCTTTCTTCTCTTTCCTCAAATGATCCTCTTTTCTCATGCATTGTCACTCTTTACGTTTTAATTCTTCTTTATTTCCCTCAAAGCTTTTCTCTCAAAATCCTGTTCTCTCCTGTCCTTATTTTAACGGCTTCTCTCTTGCTTTCTCTCCTCCGTCTCGGTGCCATCCAAACAGAAACCAAAGAAAAAAGAAGCGTCGCTGAAGCTGAAGTTGAAGCTGAAAAGACAGATTTTTCACAACAAGAACTCAAATGGGAGACATGCAACGAAGACCCAGAGCCTAAAATGCAGAGTTTCGAAGAAACGTTCGTAGAATGGGACGTGAGAGCTCCGTTAGAGGTTATATACGAAGCATATGAAGAAGGAGAGGATCCGAAAGAGAATGATCCGAATTCAACCCGTGTTATTGAGAGGTACCCTTCGTTGTCGCTATATTACCCGGAATCTGACTCGGATAGTTCGTCGTCGGAGACGGATTTTCTGGCGATCGGAAACGGGTTTTCGTCGGAGAAGATATGTTACAGTTGGGAAGAGGAAGACAGAGAAGGGTTGATTGAGATAGCTCTGGATAAGAAAGATTTGGATTTTCGTGGGGAAGAAGATAATTTGATAGAGATTGATATTTCTTCTCTTAAGGGTTAGATTCAGCTAATGTTGCATTAATCAAATTGATCAAAGTTTAAAGTAAAAAATAAAAAATAAAAGTCTAAAGAGAGATTTGAGCTTTTGGGGTTTGGAATGAGATTGTTTTGTATTATATCAATGTTTAAAGTACAATTAGTCCCTAAACCCAAGACATTTAATTGGGTTAGCTGATGACTGATTTTTCGTTTTTTTTTTTTTGACAAGACCAAGAGTTGGTTGAGCGTTGAAGGGTGACACCTGGCTTTGTTGTTGCAGGGTAAAGTAGTAGACATATTAGAGTGCCTTGATGAATGGGCTTGAATTCCATGTTCATGTCTTAAATGTTACCCCAAGAAATTCATCACCATTAGAGTGATAGAGCTGTAAGAGAACAACCTATGTAAATCTTTCTTATAAATTAAAATTAAATAATCATCTCTTATTGTTCTAATGTAATACTAATGAATCATTAATAGTTATCTTCGTCTGATTAAATTTTTAAATATTTATTTTTATTTAAATGACTTTTGATTTTTCAAAAATTGACAAATATATATTTTCTTATGATTGAACTTTCCATTGAATAAAAAATTTAATTGTATGACATAGATATATGAAAATTAAATTGATTAAAATAAAATTAATAATTGAAATAATTATTTAATTTTAACTTACAGATTTCTTTTTATATTTAAACATTAAATCTTCTATGATTTGGTGGTATGCATGTGTATGAAAATATGGTTACCGACTTGCCATTTACCATCCCTCTTTCTTACACATAATTTTTTTTTGGTATTTGAAATTATTAAAAATTAAATTTTAGAAATTGAAATTAAAAGTCCCACTTTATATCAATTGATATCTCAATAATTTGCTTTCAATGAATTTTGTCCACCCAATTATTTGTCTTTAATGAATTTTGTCTTGCTTTTATTGTTTCACCAAATGATAATTATAACTTTATAAGTGCGAAATGAGATGACGTAAAAACAAGAACGAGGAGGTTATTGGATTTGGGATGCAATTCCCACCTAAGATCATAGGGGAAAATTAAAATACCAGAAATAAGTCAAACTCATTTTACAATTTTCTTTTAACTTTTGGTAGACAACAGCTCGATGGTGCAAAAATGTCAGCGGCTTAATATATGATTCGCCTCGGTTTCAGGCCTTTTCAGGGATAGTCCAAAACTGAACTAAAATCAAAGTGCAACTCACTGTGAGGATAAAGGTTGTGCAGTTTCAAGCCTGGCTTTACACGGTTGGTCTGTTTTGAATAGAAGTTATCATCTTTAGCCATAAAAATGAAAGGAAATGAATTATAAGTAACTGCTTCAAACATTTACAACTCCTAGCTAGGCTACCTACATACTTCATTGTCGTTACATGTCCTAAAAATGACCAGCTTCAGCATAAAAAGCCAAACAAAACCTTATCATGGAGGGAAAATGATAAGTCTCCTTTAGTTGAATACTGTTCCATTGATGAGCTCTGATTAGATATTTGCCAAATTTGATGTGTGTTAAAGAAGTGCACGAAATATTAGATCATGAAGAAAAAAAAAAAAAACCTGGAGAGAGATGAACTTCAATTTTGCATTTTTCTTGACGTACATATTTAATACATAGGTGTATAAAAATCTAACTCTCTAAATATATTAAAAAAATTACAAAAAATGAGCATACTCTTGTTGGGGACTTAAGTTTAAATAACATAGGCTATTGATTTTTACGTTTGAATCGGGGCATTATAATAGAAGCAAAGCTTGATGTTTTGTTTCCCCTGTTTGCGAGTTGGTGACCTGCCAACATCAGGCAAAGCAAGCCTATTTTGTAGGAAGCAAAGAAGAAAAAAAAAAGAAGTTAGCCTTATCAGAAGAGTACAATCAAAGTTCGACATAAATGTCTGATTAGATAGCTTGACTAAAGTGGCCATCTTAAACACTTTTTTCTTTTTCTTTTGAGGTTACATTAACCATGCAAATTGACTTGAAGCACCTGATCAATAATGAAGAAATTGACTCTTCGCACCGAGTTACAAGCTATATTTATTTGATAAGTACTTACCACAAGGCTGGACATTGGGCAATCAATATATGGCCCAATTGAAATATCATTTTAATGGGCTTGAGTTGCCCAGTAGCAATTCCCAGCGTTCCAGGCTATACCCAAAAATCCCAATTTTGAACAGACCATACACATTAATTTCCATTCTTTTAATTCAAATTTCCATAATTTTTCTAATCTTCAATCTTCAACACGAACAGTATCTGAATCTTAGTTTTAGAAGACGAATTCGATAAACTCATTCGAATGCAAGTTTTAGTTCGAAGGCCATATTAAAAACATGACCACCATTGAGTTAGGACCGAGTTGATTCAACGACTCTCCATTGGTTCGTCAAATATTGGACACTCATATTCCTTCCAACTACTATGCTGCAAAATTTTGAGGCTAGTATAAAACTCGGATCGATCATCAACTCTTGAATTCCTTATCAGTTGCTTTTTAGAACACTCTGCCTCTGCTGGGGTTCATCCCTCACTGCCAAGATCGTTCTTACTGCTGGGGCTGTTGAATTCCTTAGCGTTTTATTTCGTTTTTTTTTTTTGGTTTTAAGACAATTAAAAAGTTTTTGAGTTGTTTTAAGGCTTTTCTGGTTATCATGAAAAAAAATATATAAATTAAGAATTTTTTATTAGATTTAAGAGAAGTTAACAGCTAGATATAATAGATGGTAGAAATTTCTCCCGGCTTTGCCCGGAACACAATTTTTTTTTTTTTTAATTTTTGATAAATGTAAATTTTTAAAATTTTTAACTTAATAATTATATAAAAATTTAAATTCGCATGTTTTTAAATAAAATAATAATTTATTAGTAAAATATTTAAATTTTCTTAAATTTTTTTAACTATTTGAAATCATAATAATTTTATATAAAATAAAAATATGATCTAAATATGTTCAATAGTATGTATCTATGATTTTTATTTATTCTAAATTTTTATAATTACTTTAATTTAATTCTCAAATTAAAAAATATATGCATATATTATTTTCAAAAATTAATCCATTATTATTACATTAAATTTTATTATAATATATGATGTTTTATTTATTTATTTTTTAGAGCAGTCAAAGATATATAGATTACAATCATTTTTGTTGTTAATATTTATCTGGCTTTAAAACTTTGGAGAGGAAATAACTTTAATAGTTTGTATAGATTCTTATAGATATCATAATAGTTCCCAAGGTGCATCTATTATTTAACCATAATGGTAGGATCATTTCAAAACAAACTTTTAGCTGCAATACTTACCATTCTCAGAAGCTTGAATCTAACAAATTTTGTACTGCTCAATATCACCACTTTTATAAATTAGTGTTTTTCTTAAAATTATGAAACATTTTATGTATTAGCATTTTTTCGGTATATAAATTCTCCTTATGAAAATTATATATTTTTATTGATAATAACTATTTTTTTATTTTATTAATTACAATATTAGTTTAATTCATACCGTTGTCATTTAAAAAAATATAATAATTTATTTAAAGTCTTCAAACTTTTAGTCTACTGATTAAAAGCACTTGAAATAACATTAAAAATTTGGTTTCGAATCAAATCTCTTTTTTTTTTTTTTTATTATTAAAGTTTTATCTTCGTGATAGAATAAAAAAAATAATTTATTAAAAAATAAAGAGATTCGTTAATTTTTATATGTATTTATTTGACAAGTAAAAGAGAGTTAAACTTTACATTAAACAAATCCGATAAGCTCATTTCATTTAATTGATTGAATAAAAATAAAAAATAATTGTATGGTATTGATTATTTAAAAAATTAAAATACATCACTTTTGTCCAGCCAAAACAAAAAAAATTGATTGGAATTCTCCAAAATCTCTCCATCAAATCATTAAAAAGTCAATTTCCAAAATCTACAACTGTAATGGGTGAGGACATGTGCAATAATATGTTATATTATTGATTAATGGAGCAATCAATTGTTAAGCCCCATGTGTAACTTTAGCAAAGCATTAATCGAACATATTTTACTGTTTTAATATGGGGATTGCTTTTATATTATTTATAGATTAGATTCAAGGATGCGTGAGATTCAATGTCGTTAAAAAAAATCCCGTTTTGAGTACATTAAAAATTTTTAAATATTTATTTAAATCAAATTAAAAATAATAACTTTAATTGAGAAAAAACCAAACATTAAATTTTAACTTGAACATTTAATTAATTAAAATTTAGGAATAATAAGCCAGAGATGAAGAGGAGGTCAATATACAAAAATATGAATATTTTATCATAAAAAAATTATATATGCTTTGCGGCAAAGGGAACGCCTGGTTTCGGCAGTGCTGTTCATACAGAGACGTGAACCATGCTAATTGCTAACTTTATTAGCATGTTTCCATTTTGAAAGCCATGCGAGAAAAATGCAATTATTGACCAAACATCTGGCAAAGAACAGCCTGTCTAGGATATATTCTAGAATCCGATGCTCGACCTCCTTGTTAATGCTAAAGGTTTAATTAAGCTATGTGGTGTTCGATTTGTATTGGTTAAGTGGTATTAAGTCAAATTTTCAGTAAAAAAAATTAATTCAAACTTAAAAAATATGTGGATGCTTTTAAATTTCAACTCTCCTATAGTTTGCTTGTTTCCTTTTCCAACTTTAATTTTCTCTCTTAGCTATCTCTTTACACAAATATAGAAGTGAAATAAGCATAAATAATCCAATAATTATGTGATTAATTGATAAAATATTATACGTTAATTTTAAAATTTAATTTTTAAAAATTTCAAATATAATATATATCTATAAATGTAAAAGAAAGATAAATTTTCCATCATGAAGAAAAGTAGAAATATGATTTATATAGTGAATTTATGTTTTTCAAAGTTTAAGAACCCTAAGTCTAAAAGAAAATTAATAACAATGTTCTCGTAAACTAATTAATTACTTACATTTAATGAAAAACTACTGATTAATGACCCCTTCAAATCCTTTTTTAGTTTATAAAAAAATTTCATCCTCTAAAATAAGATTTTTGGATTAGGCGATTGCTACCTAATAAAATTATTAATGTATATTTATTTAAAAAAAGAGATTAATTTATATTAATGAAAAATTAAAAAATTTTATATTTTTTAATTCTTATTTTTAATAAATTTAAAAATAAAAAATAATTTATTTTATTTATAAATCTATTAAAATCAATCATTAAAAAAATATATTTCTTCCGTTTTAAAGAGTTTAATAAAAAATTTTTATTTTAATATATTTAATATTAAAATTTAAAATATTTTTTATAAAATTAAATTTTCATAAATTTTAATATAAAAAATAACAAATATATAATATAATTTAAGATATTTAAAAAAATAATAAAAAAATGAGATAGAGAAAATATATATATTTAAAAATGGATGCTTCCCTTTATCCAGATTAATTCTTTAAAAGATTTACCTAGTAATTTTTAACCTAGAAAAATGCGTATTAGTACTAGAAAAAAACCCCTTTTGATGATTTGTTGAGATTGATGGATCCAACGGTCAAAGATTTCTCAACGACGGTGCGGTCCAAATCAAATCTCGTGACTGCGCAAGTAGGATTGAAAAGACAATTATATTTTTCCAAAAAAATAACACGTGCCGTCTTTGGCTTGGTTTCCAAGTCATTGAAATGCAACTGGTAAAAAGGCCTGGAACCATTGTGACAGCGCCACGTACCTTTCCTTTCCCATTTACTTGGCTTTCGTTTTATTTTTTCTTCCTTCTCGCATTTTCTTCTGCTGCTGAATCTGCTATTTGGTTATTTCTAAGAAAAGAAGCAACGCCATCGGTCTCATCTTTTCTTTCCTTTGCTTTTTTTTTTTTCTAAAAAGAAAAAAGGATAGTGATCAGTTTTTATATGTAGCTGAAAGGTAACCATTTGTTCTGCGATTTTTCTCCAGATTTTTTGGTTATCGGCTAACAACAGATCTAAGACACAAAAGATGAGAAGCTTCAACTTCTTCGGGAGGTTATCTAGGGCTTTCCACGATTATCCTTCTCTTTCTAAGATCATCGTCGTTTCTACAATCAGGTGTTCTGCTCTGTTCACACCATTTCTTTCTATATATTTTTTTTTCAATTTTGTTATGTTCATACAAATATTTGATTTGCTTTGATTTATATTATTTGTTTGTTTGTTTTTAAGCGCTTCTAAATGTATGCTTTTGTTTTTATTTTAGTTGCTATTACTGATTTTATTTTTTTTAGTATTGATTTCTTCATGCTTTCATTATGAGTAGATTTGCTCTGCATTTATATAACCTTTTTTTTATCGATCTGATAACTGATGATTATAGTTGAGATTTTGCTCTGAAGATGTTGTAAGAATTTGGATTTTGCAATGCTCTGTTAAAACTCTGAAAATGGAGTAGCTCTGTCTTGATTAGAGGGAAATGTCATCTCTGTTTAGTGGCTGGTGAGAGAGAATTTGAAGTAGTGAATAACCTTAAGAGGAAATATGAAGTGTAAGCTCTTTCATTTTTTATGAGCCTCAGTCTATAAAGAAATCATAGAAATATAAATTAGCAAATTCTGTGGCTTCAATAAGAAAATTAACGCTCTGTTTTGTTCATTAAAAATGGTGAAGATAAGAAATTTTGGATTAAAAATGAAAAATGAAAAAAATAAATACAAAATTCGAGTGGTTTCTAGAACTTTAGGAGCTTGAGTGTATAATTGAGTAATTGATCAAGATTAGTTGTAAAAATGAACTGCAATTTTGTTTTTGTTTCTCTTGAAACCCTCCTGGAACCAGAGTGAGTTTTCTCTCTGGGCTAAGCCTGTTGCCTTTTGTGCAGTGGTGGGAGTCTTATAGCTTATGCTGAGGCAAACGCATACAATGACAGTAAGAACCATGTTGCTCATGCTGATGCAGTCACGTCCAATGGTGCGCATTGGACTGCTTTATCTGAAGTAGTTCCCAAGAAAAAGAAGGTGGTGCTGCTTGGAACTGGTTGGGCAGGAATGAGTTTCTTGAAGAATCTAAATAACCCTACTTATGAGGTGGAAGTTGTGTCTCCTCGTAATTTCTTTGTGTTTACCCCATTGCTACCGAGTGTCACGTGTGGTAAAGTAGAAGCTCGCAGCATTGTAGAGCCAATTCGCAACATCATCAGAAAGGTAATGTGTATTGACTGTGAAACTAAGATGACATATATTGTGACATTCAGAAAACCATTTCTAAAGGAATGCTGAAGGATATGGTTTTCCTGTTTCATGCTTGAGCAGAAAAATGTTGATATCAGTTTCACTGAAGCTGAATGTCTCAAGATAGACCCAGAAAATAAGAAAATTTACTGCCGTGCTACATTAAATACCAATTCAAACGTGGAAGAGTTTGCAGTAGACTTCGACTACCTTATTATAGCTGTGGGAGCTCAAGTTAACACCTTTAATACTCCTGGTGTCAAGGAAAATTGCCATTTCTTGAAGGTAACTTCTTTTTCTTTTTTTTTTTTTTTTTCAATTTTATAGTCTTATATTTTGCTATTTTTTCTGAAAGTTTTCAGCCCACTTCTTGTTTCATCTCTGAATTAAGCTGACCTGAAACAGTTGGATAGAGGAAATAATTTAGAAACGGAAAGCTGCTTTTAGGATTGGGAACACATGGTGACAGGAGCCATTTTCTTTCTGTTATACCAGTATGTTTGTTCTCTTTTCTTTTCATTTTAAGCAACATGATTCTTTATCCAGGAAATTGATGATGCTCAGAAGATTCGTAAGAATGTTATTGAGTCTTTTGAGAAGGCAAGCCTACCCAATTTAAGTGATGAGGAGAGAAAGAAAATCCTTCACTTTGTGATTGTTGGCGGTGGCCCTACAGGTGTTGAATTTGCTGCAGAACTTCATGATTTTGTCAATGAGGATGTGGTCAAACTATATCCAATGGTCCGAGCCTATGTGAAAATAACACTTCTTGAGGCTACAGATCATATTTTAAACATGTAAGAATGTTAATGTTCACATCCTCTGTTATAATTAATTAATAATTTGTTTTTGTCATTATTATTATCCTGATAGCTGTTATGGCTAAGAAGCTTTAGTGCTTTTGCTCATATTAACGTGAAATCATTTTAAAAATAATTTTAGAAAAGGTTCTGAATTCTTTATCTTCAAGGTTTGTTGAGGTATTTCGTTCACAATATGAAGTTTTCTCAAGCTTTTAAGACATTCTTGTTTCCAGGTTTGACAAAAGAATCACAAATTTTGCCGAACATAAATTCGGAAGAGAGGGCATTGATGTGAAATTAGGGTCGATGGTCACGGAAATAAGTAAAAATGAAATTTCTACAAAAGAAAGAGGTAATGGCAAAACAACTTCTACACCATATGGAATGGTTCTCTGGTCAACTGGCATTGGGCCTCGTCCTCTCATAAAGGAATTTATGAAGCAAATTGGTCAGGTGAAATAATTTTGGATCTAGGAATTCGTCTCATCGAATTCTTTCCATCGCTATCTTTTCATTGTCACTCATGCAAGTTAGTTTTCACTCTTCTAATTATATTCTCTGAACACACTGTCTTCTGTGGGAACAGGGTAATAGGCGTGCTTTAGCAACTGATGAATGGCTGCGAGTTGAGGGACTTGATAACATTTATGCACTTGGTGACTGTGCAACTATTAACCAGCGGAAAGTCATGGTACCTACTTGTAAAACTTTGCCATTCCTTTATGAGGTTTTTGGTTATTGCTAGTATTTTTTTTTTTTTTCACTTCGTTCTTTCTCTTCTAAATTCCAATCAATTTTAGGAAGATATATCGGAAATATTTAAAAAGGCAGACACGGACAACTCGGGAACACTGACAGTCAAAGAATTTCAAGAAATCATTGATGATATCTGTGAAAGATACCCTCAGGTGGAGCTTTATCTGAAGAGCAAGCAAGTGCGTAACATTGTTGATTTCTTGAAGGAAGCCCAAGGGGATGCTGCAAAAGAATCCATTGAGCTGAATATTGAAGAATTTAAATCCGCTCTTTCTCAAGCTGATTCTCAGATGAAGAACCTTCCTGCAACAGCACAGGTAATTATTTTAATTTACTTATAGCATAGTCTGATTAATAATTTCTTTCCAAGACAATACCTACTTACACATTCACCATCTGCCAATGTTTCAGGTTGCAAATCAGCAAGGTGCCTATCTTGCTAAGTGCTTCAACCGTATGGAGGAGTGCGAAAAGAATCCTGAAGGTCCGACTAGGATAAGGGGAACAGGTCGCCATCGATTCCATCCCTTTAGGTACAAATTGAACTTTTATCCCTCCAGTGCTCATTTTCTCTTCTGCATATGTCTGGTGCTGTTATCCAATTTATTGTTTCTAGGAAATAGGACTACCCAGTTACATCTCTCATAGTACATGGTGTCGTTGAATTCAAAATTAGATCAATAACCTCTGAAGAGTTATAGCTTATTACCTGTCTAAGAGCATTTATGTTGATGAGATCATTCAATCTTATCAGACTGGGTAAAGAGATTAATATACCTTCTTAATGTCATTTATAATGTTGTTCTATATTTCTAGTACAACCAAAGAAAATTATGCCCTTACCACAAAACGGTCATCTTCTTTCAGTTACAGGCACTTGGGACAGTTTGCTCCTCTGGGAGGGGAGCAAACAGCTGCACAGCTTCCTGGTGATTGGGTCTCCATTGGACACAGTGAGCAGTGGCTCTGGTATTCTGTCTATGCAAGGTACTAATGAGTTTCTTTCGAACTTTCTGCTTCCATATTCAGCATGAACTTCGATTTTTTTTTTTTTTTGGAAATTGAATTGGTGAGTCTGAGTGTACCATAATAACAACCAATTTAATAGGCTGTTAGTCTAAAATTTATTCCTTATCTTTGAATTCAGCAAGCAAGTAAGCTGGCGCACAAGGGCATTGGTGGTCTCGGACTGGGTGAGGCGTTTCATTTTCGGGCGGGACACCAGTGGCATATAAGGCAACTAACAGATCTGTCGTTGCTGGAGTTACTATTTTGCGGAATTGCTACGTAAACAGTACAAGGTCTACAGTTAGAAATGCTGTAGAAAATTTTTGTTTTTACCAATTCATTCATTAATAATCGTACTGCCTTGCAGGTTTTGAACAATTGGCAGTGTTTTCACTTGCCAAAACTTACAAATTATTTGATTTAATCTTGCCTACGGAAATGTTGTAGGCGTTCTCTTGATGAAGAATCTTGTCATCAGAAAGTTTTGCTTTTTGAAGCTAAATTTTAGTTTATATCTGAGCTACATGAAAATATTTCGACTCGAGGTGGAAGTGTTGCATAGCCTCCCATTTACTTGATTGTGTTTAGAAAGTTTGGATTGGTTTTCTCAGAATGAGAATTCAGAGGAAGTCTAATCCAGCAATAGATGGCCCAAATCCAATATTATGAATGGGTCGCCTAAACTGACTCTTGCATGATTTGTCGCATTTGCTTATTAAGATGATCCAGCAACGTAATAACCTTTTAGAAATGCTAGTTTTTGCATTATGGACGTGTAATTTTTATTTTTAAAATTTTATTTTAATAAACAAATGTTTTTAATATTATGATAATAATGATAAATATTAATAATTTAATTTTAATTTAGATATAATATAAGTAAATTTTAATAATTTTTTATATAATTTTGATTTTGATAAAATTTTGGTAATATTGGATATAATTTAGATAATTTTTTTATATTAGTTGGATAATTTGTTATATAATTTTGATAATTATTGTTAAAATTTTAATAATCTCTTGATGTAATTTTTGTAATTAATTTTTTGATAATTTATAATATAAGATTATTAATTATTATAAAATTTATGTATCATATATATAATAAGGGATTCTCATAGAGAAGTGCAGGTTCATTGTTAGTATAAAGATAATTTTTTTTATATAATAATACTATTGTTTCATTCAAATTTATAATTTTTTCACTAAATGTTTTTATTAAATAGGTTCATGGTAGGTTAATCTTAATTACTCAAGGTAAAAGTTTTAACCTATTTTTGTTAGTAATTACGGTTTAATTCTTGATAACTTAAGTATAACAAAATTTATCAATTATTGATATTTAAGTTATAATTAATTTACTATTATATTATTAATGATTTATTATTAAGCTATCAATAATATACTGTTAAATTATCAATGATTTATTATTAAATTGGTATTAATTTACTACTAATTTATGAATAATTTATTATTAAGTTATTAATGATTTACTATTAAGTTACTGATAATTTGTTATAAAGTTATAATTAATTTACTGTTAATTTATCAATGATTTACTATAAAGTTATTAATGATTAATTAATTTATTACTAAATTATCACTAGTTTACATCTAAGTTATTAATGATTTACTACTAAGTTATCAATAATTTACATCAAAATTGTCAATTATTTACTATTATGTTATTATTGATTTACTATTTAGTTTTTAATTATTTATTATTTAATTAACTATGATTCGTTATCAAGTTATCACTAATTTATATTAAATTATTCATAATTTATTATTAAGTTATTTATAATTTATTATTACTAAGTTGTATTGATTTACTTGTAAGATTCCAATGATTTACTATTAAATCATAATTTATTTATTATTAAGTTATTTATGATTTATTATTACATTTATTAATTAATTATTACTAAACTGAAACTACTTTATTATTAAGTAATCGTTGATTTATTATTAAGTTTTTAATGATTAATTATAAAGTTATCACTTGCTTTTTATTAACCTATCATTAATTTACTAATATGTGATTATGTATTTACAACTATAAAGTATGAAATTTAAAAAGTCTACTAATAATATATGAGATAATTTTTTTTATATAATAATATTATTGTTTTATTCAAGTTAAAAAATTTTTTACTGATTTTTTTATTAAATAAGTTCATAGTAAGTTTATTCTAACCCTTAAAATGAAAATTTTGATTTCGTTTCTATTAATAACCAAAGTCCAATCCTTGATAACTTTAAGTACAAAAAAATTATTAATAATTAACAATTAAGTTATCATTCAATATGTGACTTGAATTCGGTGGCTGTTGATTGGGTGAATAAGGAATTATCTGCTGGTTGGAACATAAATACCAATATACTACATATACATATTAAAGGTTGATACATTAAACTGTACGAAATAATTATAAAGGCTACTCAATGTACCAGGACAGTGGTTGTACTATAGCAAAATTTTGCTATCATTGGATAAAAAAAAACAGCTTATCCAAAAAAAAGTTATAATTTATTTACTAATATGTTATTAATGATTTATTACCAAGATATCAATTATTTCTTTCTAAATTAAAATTAATTTATCATTAAGTTATGAATGATTTATTATTAAGTTATGAATAATTTTTATTAAATTATTGATAATTCACTATTAAGTTATTGATGATTATCATAAAGTTATAATTGATTTATTATTAATTTATCGATGATTCACTAAAAAATTATCAATGATAATTAATTTACTACTAAATTTTCACTAATTTACAACTAAGTTATTAGTAATTTACTATTATGTGATTAGTGATTTACTATTAAATTATTAATTTACTATTAACGTATCAGTGATTCACTATTATGTTTTTATGTATTTACTATTGTATTATAATTGATTTACTACTTAATTTTTTGTTATTTATTGCAAAATTATCACCTATTTACCACTAAATTCTCTATGATTCACTACTAAGTTATTATAGATTTATATTAAATTATGTATAATTTATTATTAAGATTTCACTAATTAACTATTATAATATCGATGATTTACTACTAAATTATACTGATTTACTTTTAAGTTTTTAATGATTAATTACTAAATTATTAATTATTTATCACTAATTTATCATTGATTTACTATTGTCAATTTATCACTATTAACCTGAAACTGATTTAATATTAAATTATTACTAATTTATTATTAAGTTATCATTAATTTAATATTAAGTTATTAGTAATTAACTACTAAGTTATCACCTATTTGTTAAGTTATCTTTGATTTAGCACTATGTTATTATGCATTTACAACTATATTATAATTTATTACTAAATTATTTACTATTAAGTTATCATTAATTTATTGTTAAATTATTGATGATTACTATTATGTTATGCTGATTACATTTAAGTTTCGATGATTATTTATTAATTATCTATTAATATGTTATCATTGATTTGTTTATATCTAAAAAGAAAGTAACCAAAATGTAAACTAGATGCTTTAATTTGCAAGGTAAAAAAAGAAAAAAGAAAAAGTTCAAGTTTAAATAACTTGAAAAGTATGAGTAAATATTTTAAATATACTATTCGTAGTTTAACATATAATAATAAGTTAAAATTATAATTTTTTATGCTAAAGCAAGTACTAAAACTAAATTAAATAAATATATATAATATATTAAGTTAATATTTCTAAGATATTCGTCAAATTTTTTAGTTCATGGCAAAATATTACATACTAAAATAAGTTTTATTGATGATTTGATTTAATTATTAATATATTTATTTTCATATTTGTAAGCGAAACACAATTACATATAAAAGATTGAAAATTTTGAAGTGTGCTATTACCAATGGAAATAATAAACTTTGCTTTATATTTCTATTTTTAAGTGTATAATTTTAGGTAAAAATTTTATTACATATATTACAAAAGTAATTAGAAGAAATTTACTAAATAAAATTTATAAGAATTGAACAAGCAAAAATTCTAAAAAATATTAAATTCACAATAATCACCTTTGTATTCTTCATAAATTCTTTTTTACTAAATGAAAAAAAGGTCTATTTTTAATTGTTGCATCATTCTTATTACCATCATTCAAAATGAATTTTTAATATTTTGATGTCAATCAACTTTTCCATTTAAAAATAGTAAAGAATATTTCACATTCTCCATAAAAAATTTCTTCTACTAAATGAAAAGAAGGTATATTTTTAATTGTTGCTTCATTCCTATTACTATCATTTAAAATGATTTTATTGATATTTTGATGCTAATCATCTTCTCCAACTAAAAAGAGTAAAAAATATTATAAGGAGTTATAACAACCCATATAATGTTTAACTCTATATTATTTTTATAAATAAGTTTGAATTATGATATAATCTCTTTTAAATGAAATGTTTGAATTGTTTCCCTCGACTGATATAAAAGTAACTTGGTTAATAAATGAATGATTATAAACTTATTGATCTAGATTAATATTTCTGTAATACGAATTTAAATTTCTTTAAAAAAGAAATATCTTTTAATTTTTGCAAAACTTGGGCATACATATATATTTTTTAAATTATCATTAATATCTCTATCACTTTTGCACTTAAATTTTTATTGTATTATTTCTCATTCTATTTTGAAATTTATTATCATATCATAAAAGTATAGCTAAAATAGCATGGATTAATTAACTCAAAGTTGAAACAATTTAAAACAAAAATTGAGTATAAATAAATGTTTTACTTGTTTTAAATTTTAATTTAATTAAAAATAATATAATACAATTATAAAAATGAATTAACTTAACTCGATTTTAATTTATATTAAAAAGTTAACAATTTAATAGTTATTTAAAACCTAAAATGATTGAACATAACCAAAATTCGAGTTGAAATAGTAACCTAATCCAAAATTTAATATTAGTTATTCATCTTCTGTAATAATTTAAAAGTTTTTTATTTAAGCTTTTTTCCCTTCATTTTTTAATGTTTTATTTTTATTGCTTTTGTGGTTGAATTATTTAATTAATTTTAAGAGTATTTTCAAAGTAAAATTACAATTATAAATAATTGAGTATACTTCTTTTTTATTTGAAATTTGGATGATTTGAATATTTGTTTTTAAATAAAAAAAGCATGCATCAATTATTAAGTCAAATTTGCTCAAGTGTATAAGTGAATAATTGAGTACACTAAAAATAGAAGCAAACATTAAAACTTAACTTAATCTAATTAGTCGTTGATACTAAGTCTAAAGTCTAACTCAAAATTATAAAAATTCAAAATTCAAAACAATTGAAATATTAAATACATAATTAAATAAAGATTTATCAAATGAATTTTGCTAATGAATGCTTTTAAATTACTTTTAAGTTTAGTTAAATTATAATTTATAATAATTTTTATTTTAGATGTAAGATGATAATTAATTTGATGAATTTTAGTTCTTTTCAACAAATATTACCTAATATAACAATCTCAAAAGTTTTGATACAACAATAAATATTCTTCAAATGATATAAAAGAGAA